TCTCAAGTGTCTTTATTTTTTTTGTTATCAAGAAAAAGGAGAACCTGATTTTAAAAGTCATATATGTTAAAGTAATATTATCTCACATTTAATAGATATTTAATTTTTTGTAATCTTATATTCAAGTTGAGCTATTTTATTTACTATTAATTAGTTTTAAATTGAATATTTAACATGATCTCAAGTTAGAAGTTTTTTTTTTTTAATTTATTACATGATAAATTTCTTCTATTTTTACTTATACTTGATAAGTGCTTGTTAAAGTGATATTATCTCATATCTGATAAATATTTAATTTTTTATAATCTTATATTTAAGTTAGACCGTCTCATTTATTTTAAATTGGATGCTTAATAAAATATACATATACATTTACTATCAAATAAAATGTTCAAATGCAAAATCTTAAGTTTCTAGTGAATAATCATTGATGATTTCATGTAATATATGTTTTCAAAACTTTGTATTGAACATGAAAGTTATAAGTATATACTATTCCTTCAGTCCATTAATGAATAATGTCTGGTTTAATTTTTTGCATGCAAAATTTTCCAATTTTGATAATTAATTTCACTTAACAAATAACAGTCCTCTTCTCTTAGATTGGTCTTCCTCTTAATCATAATGATCGATGGAAACATCCAAATGATTCTGGACCTCAATTTAGCACCACTTGTCTCCCTACCTTCTTTTAGACCCAAAGTCATGCAACTAGTGCTTTAACTTAATCACAAAAATCTTTTTATTAGTATACCCTATATGGCTTGGCTTGATTCCCGAAATATCCTTTCCTTTCATTTTCCATCTTTCCCCCACTTTTCTAGTTTGGAGTTTTCTAAATGCCAGGAGAATGACGACAATCAAGAGTTCCTTCCTTTCTTTTCTCTTCCCTTCCCTTCCCACATGCTTTTATTCTATTTTCCCACTTTTCCAGTTTTGTCTCTTTCAGGAGCCATTAACTTTTAGAGTGTATAGGCAAGCAATTTTCTTGAAAATTAATGATTTGATTTGGTAACCTATGAAAGAAGTAGTTTAAAAGAAAAAAAAAAGATAAAAATATTACGTAAAGAAGAAAAGGGTTCAGAAAAAAGAATATACTACAAAAATCAAAGGAGAATTAGGACTTTTAGAGGTTCAAAGAGGATTTGTGGTAGGGACTTCGCACAAACAACAACGTTAAGGGATGGGAATCAGCTTAAATCTCAGTGCCCAAAAAGCTGACTTTTGGGGATCCTACCTGTCCTATGGACCAAGGCACATTGAACTCACAATATGCTCTAAGGGGATATCCTTGGCGTCTACCATTCTATTTTCTATTTCACTATGCCTTTATGCTTATCTTGTTTTTCAATTTTCCATTTCTTAAAACCTTTCGTTTATGTTCCTTTTAGATGGATTTATTTTTTATTTAGGAAAAGAGGGATCCTAATTAAACAAAACACATGATGAAATTAATGTCAGCCTGAAAAAAATGTATTATTTTCTGAATGCAATATTCAAGTGAAGAACAATACTTATGAGTAATTGATTTTTTTTTTTTGTGAGGAAATTAAATCATAGTTTTAATCATTAGAATCAGACAAAGTAGATCAATAATATTATATGTTGAATAAGGTCTAACTAATATCATCAATAATAATATGATTAATTACACAAACCAAAATGCTACCAACTTGGTTCCTTAATTTAAAATTCAATTAAATATAAATATATATTGTGCTTGTTTAATTCAATGCTCTAACTTTATGTATTTCAATTTTTGTAGAGCTTTTGCTGTTTCACAAGCCCTTTCAAACCTTTCATTAAAAAAAAATTGAAAGATTTCAGATGCTTTTTGTGCACATTCAATTGTCATACATTTCATAAGGGAATAAATTCCTGGGAAAACAAAATTACAAACATATATGTAATAAGATAATATTTTATTGAAGGTTGTTAAGATATCATATCATGATTTGAAGCGTTGAAAATTCCTATTAGGAAAATAATTTTTATTTCTAGTTTTCTACTGTTTGTGGAGCTTTGCTTTGCATTTTCAACAATTTTAATCCTATAGTGATCTGCAGAAAGTGGGATTCCTGCTTTTATTTCGAGCTCCAAGGGGAGATAGGCAACATTAAAATTGGTTGACTTTCATTCAAAGAGATAGAACTATTGGCTGGCAGACTATTTACCCTAAATTTTGAGGGTAGCCTTGTTCACTATGAAATGTAAATTATTAATAGTGATATAGTTGGTGCCATTTGTGGCATCACTTGAATTGGCTTGTTAGGTTGGTGAAATGTCATATAAGAAATAATAATTTAGCTTGAGAAAAGAGATTACAAAACTCTTTCTTACTCAAACATTATGAAGTATATCAAGATCTGGGATTTTTTTCTTTTTCTTTTTTTTTTTTTTGCTTTGTTTGATATCTAAATTTAAAATAAATGTTAGTTGCTTTTGATTTTTCAGATTTGGTAGTGGTGTGAGTCACCCATGAACTCATTTTTTTTTCCTTTCTTTTTCTATGAAGCAAAATCTTCTATTCAAACTATATATAGCTTAAGTGATAGAGCTAGTAATAATGTCTAGTAAAAAGAAATTAAGCCTCCAAAGTATGAATAGACGTTGTTGTCATTTAGTGTAGGTGCTGCTAGGGAATATGGCAGAATTGTATGTTTAGATATACCAAAAATTAGTTTATTAATCCCCAGCATCCCTACACATGCTCAAGTCAATTTCAAATCATTACTATATATATTACTTAACTTATAAGTTCCAGATGAATTGTTCAACCACAACCACAGCCACTGCTACGCATTATAGGGGAGAGAAAAGTTGAAAACATTGAAAAAATTGATTTGAAATTATAGTGTTTAATTTAGTTTGGATTAATTTTTTTATTTGATTTAAATCAAATTTGGATATTAAATATATATAGGCTTTGAATCAAATTTTAGATCTAGAGTTGAAAAACAAAAAAAAAAAATATTAAACCGAACTAAATTATATATATATTAAATTTTTATATAATAAAAATAATAATTTTATATCAAAATCTAATTAAATATATTAAAATTTTATATTAAAATAATATATAAAAATAAGAAATTTAAATTTAAAAATCGATAAATAAAATTGAACTAATAAAATTTGATTCAGTTTTATCCAAATCGTTTAAAAATTTGACTCGGATTCAGATCGAATTTTATATATTCATAATATTAAACAACATTTGAAAAAAACTCAACCAAATCTGATTTAGACCATTACCACCTTTAATACCTTCAGACCGGGAGTAATTTATTCATAGGATGCTTTGTCATAAAATTAACAGTAATTGAGTTGCTAATGGTCATTAATCCTTCTTATTCACCTAAAACTGATTACGAATTTTGATGACAAATATGTAAGAACACGTTAACAAATATTGTGAAATGGCAATGCCTCCTAAAACTGATTGAATATTGAAAGAAAAATTGGGTTTTCATAAAGGTAATGCACTTTTAAACCTTTAATTCGTAGAAAAAAGAGAGAGAGAAAGACAAATTGTAAACTTGCAACCCAAGTTGGAATTTTTCTCATTTGTGGTAGCCCTTAAATGATTTATACACAAAATAGTATTTATTAATTATTATATTGTCCCATATTTCAACTGTTTGACTCTTACAAATAAGTTTTTAAAAAAATCTTACAAATAATAATTTTATCTATTAATCATATCATCCTTTAATAAATTATTATATTCTTAATTTTAGTTATTAAAATTTAATTTTTGATAACATAAAATATAAAAAATAATATTACTTATGTTATAGATATTTTAGAATAAAAAAGATTAGTCTAACAATCACACTAAATCCATAGTTTTATCATTTTCGCTGCATGAAATGGCAATGGAGGTTTGGTTGTTCATGGATTCTTTTCCCCCGCCATAACGGTAGGCTTTGGGGCCACTGGGTGGTGGAAAGAGAGCATTTGCATATTCTGGAACGCCAAAAAAAGTCGGCAGCTTCCCTGTCATTATAAGTGGGTCCAGGAATCCAATGGAAACGTGCCAATCGGACCTTCCCATCCCATATGAATCCAATCACATCCAACAGTGATCAACGCCCCAGCTTTTTCTTTACTAGTAAGTAACTCTTTTGATCGAGGTTGTTATTATTATTATTTTTTAAGTAAGGATTGTGTTTGTGCTGACATAAAGCCAAGCTCATCAATAATTCATAAAGTCACTAATCTTTATTTTAGCATATGAAATCCCGCGGATGACTTAGACTTTACTTTTTTTTATTTAATTTGGTTTTGTTAATTAAATTTTTTCTCTTACCTTTTTGGCTTCTAAGTTTGATTAACAAAAAGGTTAGCTTCCTTTCTGGACTTGACATTGCACAATTAAAGATTATGAAGTCTTTTAGTAGAATTTGTTACTAAATTATTCCAAAAATATTTTTTCTTTTAATCAGCAATACATACATCCAAAAATCACATATATTCTTTTAAAATTATAAATTAAAATTATAATAAATATTATATTCATATATAAAAATAATTAAATAATCAACAGATAAATTAATCAATAAACTAAATATAATTGGACAAATTAAATAAAAAATTAAATTAAATTAACATATAATAAATTTTGAGCCTAGATGTTTTGAGGCTTATATTCAAAATAACTTTTATTATTCATTTCAATAAATATTATAATATACTTTAATTACTTTATTATATTTCCACCATTATAATCTTTTTTTTTATTTTTTAAAAGAAAGATTAAATTTTGTTATAACTTATAAACATGAATTAACAAAATTAAATCAACTTCAGATTGACCATGGCACCTCAAGTAATTTACTTGATAAAATTTCTATCTAATTATTCTAAAAAAATTAACACTTTTTCTTAGCACTACCTTAAGTACACTACACTAATGCTATAATATAATTACAATCATTAATTCATTTCTCTTCCACTATACAAGAAAAATACAAAATAAAAACAAAACAAATATACTAATCAAAATAACCCTTCCCGTTTTATTTTTTTTTATATAAATACATACACACCCAACACGTTCATTTCATTACACAAGAGAACTGAGAGGTGCCTAACTCTCTTTTTTCTCTCCATCTTCCTCTTTCTTTCTTCTAAAACCCAAATTTTCACACATTAAAATTAAAGAATCCCTTCCTAAATCTCACCCAGACTTAATTTTCGCTCACTTTCCATCTACCATGTCGGTCAAGGAATGTGACCACCATAAAAAAGGCTGCCGGAAAGTCTTCCGAAGAATTATCGCTTCCATTCTAGTGTTTCTACTGATTGTTCTCATAACAATCCTTCTCATTTGGGCAATCCTTCGTCCCAGCAAGCCCAGGTTCATTCTCCAGGACACCACCGTCTACGCCTTCAACTCCTCGACCCCCAATTTCCTCACTTCTAGTTTCCAAGTCACCATATCATCTCGAAACCCAAATGACAGAATAGGAATTTACTACGACAGGCTCGACGTCTACGCCACGTACAGGAACCAACAGATCACACTCCGAACAGCACTCCCTCCAACTTACCAGGGCCACAAGGATATCAATGTTTGGTCGCCTTTCGTTTACGGGAACATGGTCCCTATCGCACCTGATTTTTCCGCCGCTTTGGGTTCCGAACAGGCTGCTGGGTCGGTTTTCCTGACAATCAAGATTGATGGAAGGGTGAGATGGAAAGTTGGAACTTTCATTTCAGGCAGATATCATCTTTACGTTAGATGTCCTGCTTATATTACTTTCGGCAGCCAAAGCAATGGAGTTATTGTCGGACAAAACGCTGTTAAGTTTCAGTTCGTGACCAGATGCAGCGTCAGTGTGTGAAGAATAAGAAGAAGAAACTAACGCCGTTAAGTTATATCGTTTGTTTATCCCCATCTTAATTTCTCTCCTTCGTCTTCTTATTTAACGCCGTTAGCATTTTTATTTCCTTTTTATTGGGAGGAAATTGTGCATTTTGCTATAGAATAAATGGATAAAAAAAATTGTAAGAAGAGGCAGATGGCAAAATTTACAATTAAATATGTGAACAAGTTTTAGAGATTTTTAATTTCTAAATAAAATGTGTGATTAATAAGTTATTTTTCAATAGATTGTAATTGAGAAATTAATGGAGGTTAAGCTGTCTTTTTTTTTCTTTTTTCATTTACAAATGCCTTTTTTTTTTCTTTGTTCAGACATTGCTTACTTCTTGTTTACTCTTCATTTCAGTTATTTTTAATTCTTGGATCTTAAGTTTTATTTTTCTTAAGAAAAAGGGAATATTTTCAACCTTAATTAGGGTGTCGGTTCTATTTAGTTATTAATATATAATTTTGATTTTTTATGATTAGCACCATTTACATATCCATAACTCGAAACATTTTTTTTTTTTCATTTTGTTCTTTGAAAATTATTTCATACAACGTTTATAAAAGTTAATTTAATTTAACTTGTCCATCAAAATCAAGTTTAGAATTAAATGTAGTCATCAATTATAAAATGGGTGGCCTAAATCTATGTTATGGTTGACATAGAATAGAATAAGAACAAGAAAAGGAAGGGTTGAAGCCGTCGCCTTTGTTGTATGTCATGTATCTGAATTCAATGTTTTTCATTGTTTTTTCCATTATAATTTTAACCAAATTTATTTTGGATAATTAATTTAACCCAAAGCTATATATGGAATAAAAACTAAAATTGTGAGTGTAGATAAATTGTTTGAAATATTTATACAACACTAATAGCCCAATGAAAAAAAGTTAAAAATCCACTAAAAATCTGCCATCACCTAAGTAGCATGCATGAAGAAAAGGCAACAAAATATGAGTCAGTGAATGGGATGAAACTGTTGTTTTTATGGTCCATATGGAATGGTCGTTGTGTCTGGTCTTGGTATTCAAATAGGAAAAGGTTTAAGCTTTCACTTAATATTGCTAGGAAGAGGCCTACACAAGTACTATAATTTATGATTATATAGAAGAAACAAAGTGTCAGTTTAGTTTAGTTGACAAAATTTTTTAACTGACATCGGTTACAAAATATAGAATGATTAATTAAGAGATAATGAAGATCAAATGGTGAATCAATTCTCGTTTTGATTTGTATGTTTTTGTTAAAGGAAAATGGTATTATTAATTAGTAGACGATGTGGAGGAATTAGGAAGGAATTAGTTAGGCTTGAATTAGTGGGAATTGTGTGTGTTGGCATATGTTTGGGAATTGGGATTGGGTTACGTCTTTCCCACATGGAATTCGAGTGGTGGTCCCTTTCACTCTCCTAACAATAATGGCGTGTTAGAAAAGGAATTTTATAATTGTCTACTCTCGAAGTCAGTCCTTATCTTCCTAACTTTAAATTAATCAAATTTCATAACGCCCAACGCATGTTGATGTTTAGTGTCTCTACTTATATATTCTTTGACAACTCATTACAAAGTTCACACCCTTGTTGCTTGTGTTATAATTTAGTCGAAATTATCAATCAAGTTTATATAAAAAATTGGATTTGATTAACTAATAATCTCTTAGTAGAGAGTAATGTAATATTTAAATCCTTTATTAGCGTTTTAAAACCTTTTCAATTGTTAATTCAGAAGAAAATGTTAAATTGTCGAAAAAAGTGGCATTATGATTGAATTCAAATAAAAACTTTTAAAATATAATATATATATAAATTTCATTTGGATGTTAGGCTTCCATCAATTTGAGATTGAATCTTATTGTAATTGCGATCTCTTCGGTTCAACTTACTCTTTTTCAGACTAAATATATGAATTGAATAAAAAATTGAGAGTACAATGTGCTGTTGCAGCCAACGGCCTTTAAATGTAGCATTACGGCATTACTCTTGTTAAAACTAAAAGGAGAAAGAGGTGGCGGTTTTATTTGCATGTTGCTGGGATGTGATGTGATGCCCATTTCTATCAGTCATCACCCATGTGTGAGCAGAGATAATGGCGGGTTTGAATTCTAAATATTATGCAATGAGAGATCAATTTATGTGAGATAAATCTCATGCAGTTTATCTTTGCAAGGTTGGCAGAACCTTGGATTTGGGCCAGACCTAACAACCGACTCCTAGGCGGCCAGACTTAGGTTACAAATTGACCAAAGTTTCGGCTTAAACTAGGTTGGTTAGGTTTGATATAGGGATCTCTCTCTCTCTGATTTATTACCGCTCTTCAATCAGCCCAGAAGATATATATAACAAAACCCAAATCTAAAATCTCATATACATGTCTTCCAATGTTCCTACAGAAGTAAATATATCTCTTATTGCATGGACCTTCCTCTTTGTTGGAAAGAGATATTAAATCCACTTGGATAAAAAGTAATAAACTAAACGTAACAAATACTGGCAGAAAGTATCGATTTATGGGAGGAGATTGGAGAAAAAGTTGAGGCTTTTTTTTTTCTAAGGGCTGTGATGAAAATTGCCTCCACCCTCCTAATCCTATATATATTCCACAAATCTATGGGCATGATGTTGGAAAGATCTCAAAGGAAACGTGAGTGAAGATCAGGCATGTTAATTAGTGAATTATTTATCATCGAGGGAAAGGGAATGGCAGGGAAAGTAGAAAGAGGGGAAAAAAAAGGGTAAAAAGATTTTTCTATTTTCAATTGCTTCGATAGAAGCCAAGAAGAAAATTAAAGGTATGTTACTAACCACTGAAAAAGAAGTGTCAGCAAAGCCTACACTAATTTTTTTTTCTGAAATAAGGAAAAAAGAAAAAGGTATTGTTGGACTAGGGCACCCTCGTTCCGATATTGGTCTTCAATGGCCTTGCTCTGGGCTGAAAACCAAGTAATAAGTTTGTAATTTGAAATGCAATTAGGTTCAATTACTAAAGGACAGAATCCCAAAGGGACAAGAGAAACGGGATTGAGCCCAATTTTCCAATGTCAAACTGGGTCTAGCCTCTGATTCTTATGACTATTGATTCGTTAAAATTTTTCTTTCCCAGTAATTTTTGGTATCCACTGCCAATTCAGCACAGATTCAACTACACGGATTTTGTTGAAATTTTCTTGCTGAATTTTCTTACATTTCCATCATACACGAAATGACATAACGATTTTTTTAAAGCCATGTTTGTTTGAATATTACAACTCTGATATCATAATTTCCACTCCTGGAAGTTAGCAGTTAGTACCCAAATTAATCACTTAAAAGAGACTTTTTCACCAAATCTGTGATTGGTTTTGGTACGCATCTTGGTGACCAGTCTTATAGAAGCTGAAGCCACGCGATCCTTGGACTGAGTTCACACTTCATATTTCATGTAGCCAATTCACCAACTTCTCCAATTTAATGTGCCAATCGGCTACATGACTCATTCAAACTATTTGGGCTAATTATAGAAACTATAATAGTAATAATTATTAATCAAACACGTCATTCCCAAATTTGTATATAGATTAATCCTACCATACAATTACCTTTCCTTCTAAACCAATAATAGAGCATTGAAGTCAAGAAAAGGAACTCGGAAGTTTTCAACCATGAGCACCTAAATCACTAGTTCCCACCCAACACACAAACCTAATAAGATAGAAACATTTGAAAAAGGAAGTTACCAAGCAGCCGCACCTAAATCATTAGTTCCTACCCATAAAATAAAAAACATTGGCTGAGGCCCTGATCAAAGTCTTATTTTTTCGCCCACAATTGACAAAGCAAGCAACCGCGTCAATTGACGACGCGGCCACTGCCTCTCTATTTCACGATATTTGTTAACGTGTTCTTACATACACTTTCATTTCCAATTCCCACTCTAGCTATATATATACATTTCTATACCTTCGTTTCCTTGTATTATATCTTCCATTCATTCTCCTCTCTACTTCCCATAAGAAACAGTTTTTCTCTATTGGTTTCTTGATCTTGTTCTTTACATGGCTGAGAAACAAGCCCATCTGAATGGAGCCTACTATGGCCCCTCGGTTCCACCAGCTACAAGGAGCTACCACCGCCCTGGTCGTGGCTCTGGTTGCGGATGTGGCTGCTGTCTTTTGAAATTCCTCTTCAACATCATCATCACTGCTGTGGTTGTCATTGGCCTTGCTGTTCTTATCTTCTGGCTCATATTCCGCCCGAACAAGGTCAAGTTCCATGTGACAGACGTCTCACTCACCGAATTCAACCTCACTACCAACAACACTTTGCATTACAACCTGGCTGTTAACATGACAGTGCGTAACCCCAACAAGAGGATTGGCATATACTATGATCGTATCGAGGCTAGGGCTTACTACGAGGACCAAAGATTAAATACGCAAACTTTGACCCCGTTTTATCAAGGACACAAGAATACTAGTTTCTTGAATCTCGTTTTCAGTGGGGAGCAATTCGTTATGCTTGGTGCTGACCAGACTTCCCAGTTTAATGAAGAGACGACTAGTGGGATTTACAGTATTGATGTGAAGTTGTACTTGAGGATTAGGTTCAAGGTTGGCAGGGTCAAGACTGGCAGGTTCAAGCCTAAGATTTCTTGTGACTTGAAGGTACCTTTGAGCTCTGCCAATGGTGGCTTGGTTGGTGCCGCTGAAACCACCAGGTGTGATTGGGACCTCTGATCAGCAGAACGGCTCTGATTCATTTGTTGATCGAGTCTTTGATTCTATTTTCATATTGGGATTTACACTATTTATTCTTTTGTTTTTTCTTTTACCCATTTTATATACAGCGGTCTTGGTTCTGAGATGTACACTGGTTATTATGTCTGATTGTTTATCATTTTGTTTCATGGGTTACTTTTTGTCACATTTATGTGAATAAATAATAAATTTTAGTGGTTCTTTTAATCTTCCGTCTTGATAATGATTTTGAATTGATCTTTGTACGTTTCTCTTAATCCGATCTGAACTAAAAAAGTCCACGGCGTACGTAATCAAAATTCAAAAGCAAATGGTATTAGAAAATATACGGCGGCTTTCAATTGAAAACAGTTGATACGGTAGAATCAACATCATGTCACATGTGACAATCTTGCCCCACCAAGAAAAGCACATAAAAATATTTAAATAAATAACCGTTACATATTGCCCCACAATTCTCTCGGGAACGTGTTGTCAAAATTTCTCTTTAAGCTGATTTTTAAAGCTCAATGAATGAATATTGGCATGTGATCAACCCTATGATTTCCATAGACTCTAATTATATATATAATTTCATAAAAAATGTTGGTTTTTTTCCCTTGGTTTCATATATATTATAAACTCACATTCTTTTATTATTAAAATTTTATTCAAGGAAAAAAATCAGATCGAAATTCTGTTTAATAAGACTTAATTAAAGGCAAGGTTGATGTTTTACTATTGTTTGTTTGCATATATTATATATATAACCGATGAAGCTCACAAGAATTTGTAGGTTGGAAATTTGATTGGTTTTTTTTTTTTTAAATTCTAAATTAGGAGTTGGTAGCCTAAATAAAATATTTATATATATATACCGTTGATTACTTGCTTAAATAAAATAAATTTGCTTTCAAAGAAAAAAAATATCCAAATCAATAACTTGTCAATTTGTCACCTAATATATATGCAGTATTTTGAATTCAAGTAACGAAATATTTGATTCTTGTAATTTTATTTTTAAAGGAAATAAGCTTGTCTCTTATCTCATCCAATTTGAGAAATTTATCTTCGTCCCTTCTAGTGAGATGCTTGGTTCTTTTTAGTTAGGTCCATTGGGTTTTCATTTTCTTTTATGTTTTTGGCAAATACAGTTTTTGAATATTTAAGATCTTTATTTTATATATATATATATATATGAGAAATTCGCCCACCGTAAGTGGAGTAGAGTTTTTAGATTTCATTCACAAAAATTATAGAATGATACGTATTTCTTAAAATATATTAATTTTTTTAAATAATAAAAAATAAAATATATGATAATAGTTTAATTTTATTTATGAAATTAAAATTTTTTTTATTAGTATATAAAAAACAAACTACTCATTTATTATGTCTTTGAGGTTTTAGTGCTAAGGTTAAGTCTAAATGAGCTTTTTCCCGCCTTGGGTCATTACCCAATTTCCATGAAGATTACAAAAATTTATATTTTGTAAAATAATTAAAAATATTTTTAAATTTTACTTGAATTTAAATTTTTTGAAAAATTTTAAGAATTACATTTCCTGTTTCTTAATGATCTTAGTCTAAGGCTATCATAACGAGGGAAAGATTTAGATAAAATTTTTTAAATAAAATTCAAGAAGTTTTGATTAAAAATTATTAAATAAAAATTAAAATTGATAAATTAAAAAATTTTATTTATATAAATCAATTTTATAAAATCTAAATAATTTTAATAAATTTTTAAATAATCATTTTAATAAAAAATTTTAACAAAATATTTCCTATTAAATAAATTGATTAAATTTAAATTGTAATTAATTTTTTAATACTTTTTATATATTATTGATTTTTATACTAAATTCTATTGATTCATCTATTTTAAATTTTTTATTAAAATTTTAATTAAATCCTTTATATTAAGAACCTTTACCCTAAAAAACTTTATCTTTAAGTTTATTCCTCCCTATGGAAGTATCGTTACAACTAAATGTATAATCAATTGAGTTTAAACCGATACAATATTAAATTCAAGACTTGAAATTTAATTCAAACTCGATTGATTTTTTTTTTAGTTTGAGCTTGATTTGAGATAAAAATCAAATAATTCGAGTTCACTCGATTAAGCTCAATTAACATATAAAAATAAATTCAATTATTTGTATTTAACATCGAATTTGATTTCAAAATATTTTATTAATTAAAATAATTAAAATATATTAAAATATAAAAATTTGATTAAATTTACGAATTACTTAAATTATGTATAAAAATATTTAAACTCAACTCAATCACTAAGTCAAACTATTAAAATTCAAACTCAATTCAATAATAATTGAATCAAATTCAAAATTTTTTCAAATCGAATTCAAATAATTTACGATTACTAATATATCATTTACGTTCTCAATTGCAACCCTCTCTTTTGCAATTTGTCGTTCCCTTTTCCTTTGCAGCCCCATACTAATATACCATGGTTGAAAATGTTCAGCTCGGCTTTCTTTACTTCCTTCACCTACATTTCCTCTCCCCCACCCCCACTCCCACTTTCCCCCCAACCCCCCCAAAAAAGAAACCATTAACCAAAATAAAATAATTATTATACTTACTCACTACTCACTAGTAGCCGATTTGTAATAATGTAGACAAAGAGTAATTTAAAATAAATTAATTACATAATTAAACTACTATTTCATGTTTACAATTTTAAGCAGTATTTTTACTACCCTTCAATTCTTAAACTCACAAACCCCACTTTCCTATCTGCCAATACATCGCTCTCCGGCGAGTTCACATCATCATTTTCCGGTGACTGTATCAAAATCCCAACATCATAAGCAGGAGAAGGCGAAGGAGTAAAGTAAGGAGGCGATGCACACGGCGTCTCTTTCTCCACGTCATCAGCCATGTTGACCACCCTACCCGAGAAACAGTCCCTCAAACAAACCCTTCTCTGATCAGCAGGATTCTCGACGCTGTCAGCTCCTTCTCTTTCCTCTTCTTTTATCGTATACAAAATCCTAGACTGTCCGTACAACGCCTGCCACTTCGCCCACTCGTCATCATCCTCCACCGCGGCTGCCTCCGAATCAGCTGCCGTCGCAGCCTCCGTTGGCATCGGAGACACGACCCCAGAGGAGGGTTCCACACGGGCAGGTCGGTTTTTCCAGCAGAAGAAATAGAGAAGTTCCTTCGAGGGAGCAGCGAAAAAAGATGAATCCAAAAACTCAGAATCAACGGAGCAAGTGCCTCCTCTGACGACTCTGCGTTGACAGAACCTTCGTTTTCTCCAACGGACATAAACCATCTGTACAATAAGAGCTAAAAGGCATGTTGCGAAGATAACGATGAGGGATATGGCAAGCTTGGCAGGAGCACTCATGGCGAGTTTTTCTTCTTTGATATTATTCACTGTTTTATCTGATGTTAAAAAAAATGAAGAGTCAACTGAGGATTTGTAGAGAAAGAAAAGGAGAGGATTTTTTTTCTTAGAGAGGAAAATGATGGAGCTTTTTCTCGGAAAATGTATGGGGAGAAGTGAGGAAAAAAGTGTTAAAGAGTTGATGAGGACGAGGAAGTAGAGGAAGGAGTGACGTGGAATTTATTATTATTATTATTTTAAGATTTTGAATTAATTGGGCGGATTAGAATTTACTTTCTTGTTTACCAAAGGCAAAACTATAGTCTATTAAATTATCATTGTTTATTATATAAAAAAAAGTACCATAGTTTCTTATGGAATTTGTATAATGTAGGTTGGACTAGATTGTATTTTTATGATAATTAATATTATTGAATATTTAAAAATATAATGAATAAAAATTCTGAAAACAAGTAAATCATTTTTTATGAAAATGATTTAATAAAATTATAATTTTTGTTCATTCTTTAAATAAGTCTTATTATTATTATTATTATTATTTGTCTAAATAAAATTAATAAAAAAATCAATGTAAGCTTTAATTTTTTTATTTATCAAATACTTTTTAAGGCTAGTGAAAAATTAAAACTTTGAAGATAAAATAATTTAGTATAAATTTTATTTTATTTTTATGTATTATCAAATAAATCAATTTAATGTAATCCTTTCACTTAAACTAAAATTCTTACTTATAAATTGAATAAATCTTATTAAAAATAAAAACTATTTGCAATGGTAATTTGGAAATATAGTGAACCATAATGACTATTTTATTCCATTTAAAAATTTCTTCAAATATATAGATAAGTAAAAATTATAATCAATAATAAATTAAAATGTTTTTTATTTTAAATAATAGTTTAAAATGTCAATTTAGAAATATATATCCTAATATTTTTGTACGTAACTATTTTAGAATAATAATTTTATATTGAATATAGAGTTACATATTATACAAATGACTAAACCTAATAATGTGAATATTAACTGAAAATTGCAGTGTCATGTCAAGCTAATCCTATTTGCAAGGCATACGAAATTAACGTGAAACATATTACTTTTAACATTAATTTGAAATTAAAATTCTAAAGATAAAATAATTTAATGTAAACTTTAACTCTTTTTTATTTATCAAATAATTTAATAACTTAAATGAAATTAAGTCGTTCAATAAAATTAAAATTCTTATTTATAATTGCACTTATTAACCAACATAATCTAAACTTTTACCAAATGTTTAATTCAATGAAGCATCTGATGAAAATAGTCAAGGATTCATCATATAAAATACTCATATATTCAACCATTGTAAATGAAAATAGCCAAAAACTCATCAACAATTAAGCTAAATGGGAGATGAGGAATGATTGACCCAAAAAGAAAGTAAAGGGTCCGAGTCAAGCAGGTGAGCTGATCACATGAACCGGGCTCGTTCCCGTGAATTGTCTTGTATGCATACTTTTGCAAAAAGGGCTTGTGGTTGGGATGAACATCAACCTGGGCCTTTGTATTTTTATGGTGCCTAGTACTGTTTGGATTATGTTCACTTTCGTCGTAGTGTTTGGTTCAAAAAAATATCGATGTTCTTTATTTTTATTTTCATAGAAAATAGAAAATATACTGGAAAACATGTTTGATTCAAAATATAAAAAATAATTTTTAAAAAATGAAAATAAAAATGGGCCAAAATTAGAGAACAATCAATATATATATATATGTATGTATGTATGTATGTATGTATGTATGTATGTATGTATGTATGTATGTTTTGAGCAATTTCAAGGAAAACATGAAGAACAATTGAGAAATGAGAAAAACACGGGTTTTATAAACATTTTTTAAGTGTTCAAAGCACACTCACTAAACACCCAAGATCGAATCATAATAGACGCAAAAATTCACTACAAACATTTTAGTGGGAAACTTGTTCAAAGTTTCTAATGTCCCTTTAAACAAAAGTTCAAGAAGCATGAACTCTCTGTTGGAGGGTTTCGCCACAATAGAACTTCTTAAGGTGCTCGTGCCTCAGCTTTGACTCCTTGACAGAACTTCAATTACTGGAAGTTTGTAAACTAAAGCAATCATGTCAGCGAGCTGAAGATGTGCTTTCGCAAGTATGAAGAAACTCCAGGAAACTGTGTCTGCGACTATAGTAGTAGGTCAATTCGGCGAAGGTAGTTTCATTCCTCATGTGGCTACGGCAATGGAAAAGTAAGAACCTCCAGTCAGCTTTGTGAACCAGGCGAACCACGCTCAGCAGGAAACACTACATCAGATGTCTGATAAAATTTGAATGTTTTTCTTGGTGCTAATTGGTTTAATTTTTTATGCTTTATTTAATTTCTTATTTTAATTATTTAGTTATTATTTTTATTTTTTAAAAAATACAAATACCAAACATATTTTCATAATTTTTCATTTTCGAGTACCAAATATATTTTTTAAAATTAAAAAATTACAAAATAAAAATTGTTTTCAGAAAAAAAAAAATGAAAACAAAAAATATTTTCTACAGTCAAACACAACAATCGTCCTAACCTTTAAGGCCATATGAACCACAAAATAATTTTAATGTAAATCAATTCTCTCCTTCTATAATTGAGCTTTCTATAAATTTTTATATTCAGAACAATTCAGATTTAATCCAATACTTTTTTTAGTGCAAAGAAAGCGAAAGCTTGAAAATAAAAAAAGAAATTACAGATATTGTGTTTGAGGTTAATATTCTCCTGCTCCCAATGTCTTATTCAATTTGAGTGTATATATATATATATATATATAAAAGAAAGAAAAAGAAAGAATTTGGGTTGGAATTGGAAGGTATTTTTTATCATTAGATTTGATGTGTAAACTTTTGAGGCCCAATGATGCTGCCTATCATGGATTGGGCTTTAATTTTTAGAGCTAGACCAGCTGGACTGCAATCTGCAAATGGACTGTGAATGGTGAAACCATTATACAGATGAAAATTGGTAATTAGATTCCTTCACTTGACACTTTCATGCCACATTGCTACATGAAACATGCACCAGTTCTTGAAAATTATTGTTGAAATTTTACATGGATGGTTCATTCAGTAAGTTTAGTATAAAACACAAAGTGAAAGTGGTACAGCTCAAGATCCTCTCTCTCACACTTCCAAAAATGCTTTAGGAAAACAATCCAACAAAAGCAGCATCCTCCATTTTTTTTTTTTTTGCCATTCTCTGAAATCTGATCATCACACACATTCGGGTGATGAACACCTTACACCCTGAACTATAAACAAAGCAAAACGATAACAGAAAACAGCAGCACATGAAGTACTCCTTAGATCCCTCACTCTCATCACTTTCAAATGTAAAAAAAAAAAAAGCACCATATAAAAGCAACAGCTCTCCCCAAAATGAGAGAAAAAAGTAATGAACACAAATAACCGGGAAATGGGGATGGCATGGAGAGGGCATATACATAGATATATATATATATATATATATAGAGAGAGAGAGAGAGAGAGAGATGGTTAGGATCCTAGATTTCCCTTACTTTAGGAACCATATCTATAGATGAGGAGGGAAGGGAAATGGGGACAGTGACCCTTATGGAAAGATCCATTTGTTAGCTCCCCTTTTCTTAGAGTCTGCAAAAGGGGGTTAAGATGCGTGGAAACTTTGTCTCGATGCTTATGTTGTCTTTTGTAGATGCCAACAATCAACAGTCTTTTTTTTTTTTTTGGGGGGGGGGGGGGTGTGGGTTCTTCAGACTGGGAGGGTTCAGATCTCCTGTTGTCTAGTTTGTTCAAAAAACCTGGAATTCAGTGCAAATTACTGCAATCCCCATTGTTTCAATCTTGTCTGCTGGAAAATGCTTTTCAAAGTACTGAAAAATTCATTAAAAAGGGATCTGAAACAAAAAATGCAAAAAAAGTTTTAATTTTCTCACATTCGTTTGAGGCAATCAAATTCCAAAAGAAAGAACCAAAAACATTTCTTTCCATTTACTTTGTTTTTGAATTAAAAGTTGGTTTCTATTCCCAAGCTATGTATATTTGTGATTAGGCTTTAATCGTGGACTCTTTCTATTCCATTTACTAGCTTACTACCTGTACGAGGCACCAATTATTTTTATTTTATTTAAATTTAAATAAAAATATAAATTAATATTATTGAATTATTTATATATTCAAAATATATGTAACATATAAATAATATTATTTAAATATCAAATCATAATAAAAATAAGATTTTCTTTTTAAATTATACTGAAAATTATAAAAATTCTCTGTTTCATAATTACAAAATTATCATATGACTCATATCTTCTTTTTCATAAATCTTGGTGAAATCTTTTATAATTCTTAAGTTTTTTTAAGTTAAGATATAAATAAACTTAAAATTAATATTACTGATAAAATTATCTCTAAATTATTTCTTTTCAATTTTTTTTATGAAAAATAATCTCTTGATTTGAAATTGTGTTACATGTTTCACAATAGGGATATGAGTTGAGAAATTATTCACTATTTAAATATACAACGGGCAAATAAGCTTTTGTTTAAAGCACATAATTTTATTATATCAATTAATCAGAGTATCATTTTTATTTTATATGAATGGAGAATATTTAATAAATAATTAGTTAAAAAGCAAAATATATTATCGGATTGAGTGAAAAATCTATGAAAAAATAAAAAGTTTGCAGACCACAACGACAAAAATATAAAAATATGTGTTTTTTTAGTTTTGTAGTTTTTAAAAAAATTATTATAGCTAAAAAAATATTACAACTGATTTGAAAAAAAAAATCTTATCTAGTGAATAGTATGTTTAGTGAAATAGTACTTATAATAAAAAAAAGTATGTTAGTTCCTATAGTAAGAATAGACTAATAAAAAAATAGACTAAATTAATAGTAGGAAAAAATACATTTATTTTAGAAGGACATTGAGAAAACCATATAACTAAAAACTGCTAATAATGAGGGCTTTCTTAAAATTGTTTTAGTATATATATATATATATATATTTTCACATTTCATTTATGAAATATATTTAAAAATTGAAGATAATAAAATATTATTTATAAAAAATATTAAAAATATTAAATAATATTTTTAAAAGTTGTGATAAATTTAAATATTATGTTGACTACAGATAAATTAAAAAAGATAAATTATTTTAAAATTGATTTTAAATTGAGATGAAATGATGTATAAGAGAAACTTAATGTACAGGAAAAACTTTTCTGAAATTGTTTTGCTATTTATACTTTTTTTCACATTTTCTTTGTGAAATATATTTAAACACTGAAAACAATACAAATATTATTTATAAAAGATGTTAAATAATAGTTTTAAAAGTTGTGATAAATTTAGACACTCATGTTGACAACAAATAAATTAAAAAAGATAAATTATTTTAAAATTAAGATGCAATGATATATAAGAGAAACTTTCATGCAATTGTTAAGATATTTATATTTTTTTCACATTTCTTTTGTGAAATATATTTAAAAACTAAAAATAATATAAAGATTATTTATAAAAAATATTAAAGATATTAAATAATATTTTTAAAAATTATGATAAATATACTCATGTTAACTGTAGATAAATTGAAAAAATAAATTATTTTAAAATTGATTTTAAATTGAGATAAGATGATGTATAAAAGAAAGAAATTTTATTAAAATTTAAATTGGTATTTGATTAAATTTTAAAATTTTAGCTAATTTAATAATTTTTAAAATATATTTTATAAATAATTTAAAATTAATAAATATTTTATATACCATCATAATGAAAAATTTTAAAAATTATCTTACTTGTTAAAAAAAAGCTATCCACGTAAACATTTAAGTCAACAATTACTATTTAATAATTATGTATGTTGTAATATTATATTTATATATATATATATGATTTGTTTCATAATTAACATCTAAGGTTAAGAAATTAAAAAGGTTCATTAAAGTTTGTTTAGGGGTGCCAAAAGAATATATAATATTGTTGTTAGAATATAAATATGTATATGTATATATATATATATATATATATAATTCTGTTAGAATATATATATTTGTGAAATTCAGGTATCCAGGTTAAAAGTAATGATCAAGATGAAATAATTAAAGTTATAAAATCTTCACTATTGGTGACAAGACCAGCAACTATAGTAATTATTATTATTATTATTTCACAATAATAAATAAATAAAAGTTCCTTTATGCTAGTTGTAAAAGCATAATATATGCCTCAAGGGTCTTGTAAGAATATAAATCAAAACTTTATGATAAAATTAGAAAAGGGTAAGAGACCTGATAAAGGAGCAGCGTTATTTGAAGAAAATTAAAGCAGAAAAAACCCATATCTGAAGAAAGATACAGAATTAGAGTCTCCAAAAAGTTAATTAGATATTATTTATTTTCATGGTGGTTAGAAAAGGTTTCCAAATAAAAGGAAAGAGAGAAAAACCAATGGCACATGAAAAAAAAAAAAAGGAAAATTAAAGAGATAAAAGAAGGGTAAAGATTTAATTGGCTTCCAAAAAAGCAAAAGATGAGTAGGCTTATGTCTGAAGTTTTAGACTTCCACTATCACAATATATTTTATATGTACTTATCCCTTCCTTTTGAGACTATACATAGGGGGAAAAAGCCTATGGATTTTATTTCAACGAGAGATTAGACAATTAAATTTGTCAGTTCCCTGTCACTTTTTTTTCCACCCCAAACACGTTGTTCACTGAGCTACGCATGATGGACTCACCTTTTTCCCATTTAATGTAATAAGGAAAAAATAAAAAATAACGGTGAAAGTACAAAAAGATGAATATAGAGATCAAAGCTAGACCCTGCAAGGAAGTTTTAAATATATACCAATAGGAAGGAGTGGGTGAAAATAAAAAAAAAAAAAAAAATAAAAAAAAGAGGAGCTTTTGCTTTGAAAGGAACACCCACTTCCTGCTTTTGAGGGAAAAACCAGCTAAACCTAAGTAAAGGAGGCAAGCGGTTTCAGCTTACCCACCATGCATGAACAGGAAATATCATTGTTCTAAGATGAAATTGTCAGAAGCAGTAATACTGCCCATTGGCATAATTAATTTAAAGAAAGCACAACCAATCAGTAGGACGCTTACGTTGCATAGGTGGATATTGTGATCGGTGAGCATATTTCCTTGCAGCAGCTTTTGCAAAAACCACCCTGTGTGCCACTATATTGGTGGGGAAACAGGTGGTTAGTTTGCTAAAACCTTCAATAATGCCCTGAAAATCTATTTAAAAAGAAGGAAAAGAATAGAGAGAGAAATCATAAAAAACTGAAAAATTGACAAAACCATGAAAGAGAGCATCAAAATTCCAGGCTGTCCAGCAAGCATATTCTAGCAACAACAATTAAATGATCAAGACCATAAAAAATGAATGTAGAGCGGCGAGGGGAAAAAAGTAACAGTGCCCAGTTAACCCGCTACCTGAGGCATAATTCTAACAAGAATACTTCCATCCACTGTTGGAAAAGCCAAAACACAGTTGTTCTGGGAGAAAGAAAACTGATGGTGTTAGATAACAGTTAAAGAACTGTGAAATATCATTGGCCAAGATAAACTTTCAAGTGACATCATATTTTGAGATGCTAATGGAAACCAGATAACCCTTTTCCATATATTGAAATTTTTACCATTCTCGAAAAAATTTATGCATTAAATAAGCAATAAGATGATATTGAAGTGAAGACAAACGTGCACAGCCAAAAAAAAGGAAGATCGTCCCAGGACGATAAACGTATCACTTAGGTGACTCCAGAGTTGAACATCATCTGCATGGTGCTTAGCTACCAACCATTGCCAATAAGGTAATTGGAAGTGCCTCTGGTAACAAGAAGACTTGTAGAGAAAGATTGTGCTCCACTGCCGGAAAAGATTACAGCAAAAAATTAAAGGATGTGCTGTTAAGCATTTATCCTTTGCAGGAAGGCTACAACTGATTAAGTCAGTATATTTAGCTTCCAAAACTACTGGTGTAGACACTTTTATTACCAAAGCATGTGATCAAGAAGATTGATCAGCAATGCTCAAGCTTCTAATGAAAAGGAAAGGAAGGATCAGCTAAGGGAGCAAGGGTTAGCTAGGAGGCTATCCGCTGCCCGAAGTCAGAAGGAGGTTTGGGGCTATAGAACTCTTTGGTGTGGTATAAAGCTTGCTTATTGAGGAATATATGGTCTATACTATCCAGAGCTGGATCACTATGGATAGCATGGATTGAAGCATATGTGTTGAAAGGGAGGAGCATATGGCAGGTTTCACCACAACAAAGCAGCAGCTGGAGGGAGTTTCTTCAGCTAAGGCACGTTGCTTAACAGTTCATAAAACAGGATAATGGTATTGAGATATGGCTGTTTCCTAGGAATTATTACTCAGTAGCAATAGTGTGGAATGGCTTGAGGCCAAGTTAGGGGAAGGTTAAGTGGCATAAGATTATTTGGTTCCAGTACCATGTATCAAAACTATCCCTGACTGCATGGATGACTATTCTAAATCTGCTGCCAACAAGGGACAGATTGAGAGCATGGGGAATGGAGGTGGATGAACAGTGCTGCTTTTACCAGTAAGGAAGAGAATCCAGGGATCACTTGTTTTTTGAATGTGGGTTTACAAAAATTGTCTGGCGAGGAATATCAGAGAAATGATGGATTAGAAGAAGAGTGGGGGACTGGGCTGCTGAATTACTGTGGGCAGTCAGTAGAATGAGAGGGAAAGCATTGATCTGATCATCTTGCGTATTGCATGGAGTGCCTGCATATATCAGATATGGAAAGAAAGGAATTGCAGATTGTATAGGAAGGAAGAGGAGACAACGGAGAAAGTGATTGGTCGGGTCAAGGAAGCTGTCAAAAACCGACAAGATGCCTGCATTCGGTGGCTGCTGAACAGCAGAATAAGGAATCAAAGGTGGCAGACACATATATGGTAAAGAAAGGAATGAAGGTTTATTAAAGGCATCATTTAAAGAAAGCACTTATGTAATATTGATTTCATCAAGTGCTTGCTTAAGCAAAATAATTCAAATGTTTGAGAATTTAACTACAAGTTGGCACTAAAGACAAAATAGATGCATGATGATTTTACAACAATGCTCCAAACTACATCAACAACAGAACAGAAATATATTACAACTTAGAATTATGTCTTATATAAATGAGCTATTGAGCTCTGGCTCAAAAAAAAAAAAGCTATTGAGCTTTAACTTACCCAATGAACCTTAAGAAGGCAAAGCATGTCTCTATCTATTTTGCTGCTCCCTGCTCTGATTTAACAGAAAAACAGGATCATGAATATAGTCAAATGTGTTTCCCATCTTTAATAGTCGAGTCAAACAATAGTTTCTGCAAGAAAAAAATCAGTGGAAACTGGTAATCTATTTATGAAAGGTACATTGCTATGCTTTAGAAATTTTAAGGAGAAAGAATAATAACACAATCTTATGAAAGACATGTAATAAAGAGCAAAATCTCCTGTGTCAGAGTCATATTGATGTGTTATTATGTTGCCGATATAGTCATTGCTTAAACAATAATCTGCATCATACAATTGCATATATCACCAAAATTGCAAGAACAATAGTCAAGAGTTAACAGAAAAAAGAATTTGAGAGACAAAAGAAATAGTCAGAAAAAGTTAAAATGCAATTATTTGCGCATGGCATGTCAACATTTATGTTCGAGATTGCAGTTTCCAAAGCCCAAGAAGCAAGAGAATTTATGGAGACATGCCAACAGAAAAGAAGAAAGAAAAAGCCTTAACATACAAGAAGTTTTAACATACATATCTATGATACTAAACATCTTACACATTGAATGTTCACCATCCATGTTTTGAATCAATATGCTTAGATACTGAAGTAATGGTGACTCAATTCTTGAACTTGTACTGCTCCTTAGTACCTGTACAAACTCTGCTAAAACTTGGTATTACATAAAACATCTGCACCAAATTGACGAAATTCAGATTACATCACAAAGATACTGAAAAACATAACCATACATGCAAAGATTTTCATGAGAAATGCATACTCAAATATCACTGGATCTTGTCTGTCATCATATGCCGCTATCTCTACGATAGTCTGTATTTTGACCGCCCAGTTAGTTTGAAAAGAAAATGTTCATCTATTAACCATTAGGATTATTATCCAACTGATGAAGAGACGAGTTCAAAACTCCAACATGCGGGTTTAATGGCGACATACCCATTTAACTGTATATCTGTTAATTAATTGAACTTTGACTTCCTTATTTTATAGTTAAACAGATACATGGCATGCACATGAACCTAGTCATGGAGTTTTCAACCTTCACCTTTATTGTATAGAATAATAATCCTAATTAGTATAACAATAAAATTATTTAAAAGCCAACTAAGTTACCCTGTTCTGCTTATTGACAAGTTTGATCTGCTGCAATTCAGTAATTACGATTCTATACCAGAACAAGATTAAAAAAATTTGTAAAAATAATAATCATGGCAAAGAAAAATGGATGGGCGAACACAAAAAGTAAGGAACATAAACCCTATTTAAAATCACCAAAACAATGAAAAATAATAACAAAACTCAATAGAAGAAAAACAAGCACCGAATTATAATTAAAATATTTGTTTTTCATATAAAAGAACAGAGAAGAAGAACAAGCGAAATTATTGAAGTGTTGAAGAGAGAAGCGATCGACGGATCGCCAAAGCGAGCGCCACATGTTGAAGAATGTGGAGATCTGGCTTTTGGAGAAGAAACCCTAGAGGAAGAGAACGAAACTTTTTTGAGGGAAAATAGAGATTTTACAGTTGAGTTGGGTCGCCGGCGCGAGGGGACTCGAGTAGAAGACGGCTTTGGTTTGGTGTTTTGGATACGGCTAATGCTCCGTTGCGGCAACCAACGTTTCTTCCCTCTTTTTTGCTGCGAGTTTGAAATTACGCCTAACTTAAAACCGACTTAAAGTAATAATCCAAGGCATATAAATCGATTTTAACACACAAAGGACTCTAGGAATGACACCTGTCCTGCTTTGAATGGGTTGTGGGCTGAATTGGATTTTTTAAGAGATGACCTTTAGTGCTTGATGGATGTGGTCGGTGGGCATTCTTTTTGGGCTTTTAACTATTTAACTGGCTTTTTGTGAAATTTTGGACTGCCGAAAATGCTGTCGCCGGCATCGACGAACCCAATGCCGGCCACGTCCCCAGCTGCGGCGCGAAAGAACAAAATAAGGGAATCAAAAACTTCAGAATTACAAAAATTCCCATCAAAACGAAAAATCCCTTAAACAAACAACACCAAAATTTTGTTTGAAAACACAAAGCATAAACCAAAAGCCTTCATCTGGCCGAAAACAGAAAAAACCAAGAACCTTATTCTGTGTTCTATTTCTAAAACAGACCTGGATTTTTTTTTAATTCTAAAAAGTCCAAATCGATTTTTTTAATTCCAAATTTTTATCACGAAAAATCATGTATTTAGGAAAATGTATTACAGGTTTACAATAATTCAAAGCAGATTTGGAATTTTTTTCAAATTATAAAAACAAATCAAATCTTAAAATTAAAAAAAAACGTGTCTGGCAAACAACCAAAAAAAGAAATAAATCAGATCTACACTACTAAAAAATCCAAAAAAAATAAATTCAGCTTTCGCCGTAGCCAGCACATTCGACAAACGATATGACACTACTAACAAAAAAAAAAAAAAATCCTACCAAAACCTACATCTGAAAAAAAAAATCTAAATTTTTTACTCAAATATCGGATGATAGAAGGTTGCTATCAGGTTTCAAGGTCTTTTTTTTGTGGTAAAATCACCAACGATGGTGGCGGCGATGAAGGAAAAGGGAAAAAAAGAAAAGGAGAGTGAATTTGTTAAAATTATATTCCTACAGATTGTAAAAATCATAATTAACGCTATCCAGTTATATTATATCACTCTAGAATCTCTAACTTTTTTTTTTTTAAGTTGTTAGTTGGACCAAACTTGATTATTACACTTTTAGTTAAAAGTTGGACCATAGCAGTCAAATTTTGTCGGCGTCGACATATTCTAAAGCATCGCTCCGACATTTAACCCCGTTAGATAATCTTAATTATAGACTAGTGCTAAAATAAAGTTAGAAGGCAACATGCTGTTAGTGCAATGTATCAATTTAACGGCTCTAGTAGGTTCAATTCCCATTGCATTTTGATTTTACGTGTAGATGAAGAAGATGCAATGGTCATATAAATATGGACTTAAATGAAAATATCAATACTTAAGTTTTATTTGAATTGATGGTAAAATTACTTTTAATAAAAATAAAAAATAATAATAAAAGTTATTTTAATTATTAAAAAAATATTATAATTAAAATAAAAAAATTAAAAAAAATTATATTAAATGAAACTCACTTAAAATTTGTATTTGAATTTAATTGATAATAAAATAAGTTCAATTATATCACATTGAAAATATAACAAAATTCAAACTCTTACTTATCAAAACTAAATGTAAGTAAAATTCAAACGATATATCATTTATGATTAAAAAAAAAAAAACAATTCAAAGTGATTTATTTAACCCTAAACCAACAATTCAAAGTTTTAATGGTAAACCATTCAACCATTGAACCAACCACCTCACACGAACGCCTTACAATCAAGAGAAAGCTCACAAATTTCCAACATACAATCATCCATTTTTGTTTGTGGTTAAGCAATTGGCCCAGGCAGCTAGCATTGCTATCCGAAAAAGAGAGATGAACAGTGTAGTAGAAAAATAAAGGAACCACTACAGGCCCGGCACTGAATTTTTTGCTCTACAATAATGATACTTTTTGAGTATAGATTTCGGCCGCACAAGAACCCAAAAAAAAAGCCGACCAGCTCAAAGTTTCTGACATGTGAAAGGCAGAAAAGTCATTTGTTTTCTTCTCATTCAATCATCATTTCCAATCTTCACAAATGCTTTTTCATGTCTTTCTCTATGTTGTGGTAGATCTACTCCTATCATCATCTCACCCCTTTTTCTTTTTCTCCTCATGATTACTTTACCCTTCATTTTTTTTTTCTCTTCCTCCATGTTAATTTGAAGAATTTATAACATTGTTTTTTAGTGCATCTGCTACCCTTTTCCACAACATTTCTTCCATTGACAGTCGATGACATGATGAAAGCTCATTTACAATGCATTGGAGGAAACTAGTAGATGCATGTTTGTTTGAGAATTTAGTAAGAAAATGTGGACTATAAGTGAAATTTTGGGTATGCATTTAATAGTATTTGAAAAAAAAAAGTTGCAGAAATGGGTAGAATTTGGATTATGCTAAAGAAAAACTGGATAAATTGATGAGATGAGAATTTGATGGCTGTGACCCTATTTGAAATACTATCAAAGAACTGGTCCTACACCCCTGTTTTGATGCTGGTTTTGTACTGGTTTTCATAATTTTCTTTTCATAGGCAACCTATTCCAACTGCCTGCCTACCCCACAACTGAACTTGTTTTGTAGATAGGTGAGCAAAAAAGCCATTAGCATTAATAGGCGAACAGTCAATCCACCATTCCTCACACGGAAGCAAAATAGTGTCGTAGGTAACTTTTTAAAAGAATTTCAGAAGATTTTCTTGTCCACCGGGCAAGTAAGTTTTCAAGTGTTAAGCAGAATTGACTTGCTTTTGTTCCATGCTTCTTGCCAAGCTACTTGTGTTGTGAAAATTCTTCATGTGAATTTGAAATTGCCTTCCAACGATTCCCATAAAGATTCTAACTGAATTGCTTCCAAATCTAAGCTTCACGGCTCTCATCTATCTACTGCACCATAAAGGTGCTGAAACAGTCCTACAGAAAAGAAAAGAAGTTTTGTAAATGGTAGGTTACTTGTCAGAATGAAAAACATTGGGATTTACTGTTGCAGCAGACAAAAATACTCTGCTTTTAATTATTGATAGAAAGACTAATCGGATAAAAACTCCGAATTGGTTCAGTGGATGACACTATATCAGCCGGCGATTATGTATCCAAGTTCAGGATTTTGTGTCCGAGTTTCTTTCTTTTTTTTTTTCATTTACAACCAAATACAACCTTTTTTTCGAGAGAGAGATCAGGTGTGTTGTTACGTACTCAACTCAATCATTTAAAAAAGAAATCACCTCACATCCATCATAAAAAGGCAAAAAAAAAAAAGAGAAAGAAAGAAAGAAAAGGATGCCTAAAAGGAAGATGATTTGGTTTTAAAAAGGAGAATAAAGGCAAAAGGGGAAAAAAAAGAAAGGAATACTTACTTGGGAAGAAAATTACCAGCCAGGAAGCTCCCTGGAATAGCATTTACTTTAACGCAATTGCAAAAGCAATACAACAGCTAAAAAGCAATGAATTACCAAAGAAAAAGAGTATCCAATTCCTCCCCACCCCGGGGCACATTTTTCACTTTTCAAATAGAAAAACTATCATCAATGATAGTATCAAATGATAAACATTTTCTTAAATCGCCAAATTTATTACATCTATCAAACTTTTTCATTAAATAATGACAGCAAAAAAGCGTTTAACTCTTTTGTTACCATTCCATTACAATAAGAAAAATGAAATGACCATCTTCACCTTCATGGCCGAAAAAAAAAAAAACACTAAATGCAGCTCATACACAGCTTTGTTTAGCAAATCCAAACCTCTCATTTGCCAAATCATATTCTATGTAATAATTCTGCTGTTGAAAGCTCCCTAGTATAATAGCCGGCCCGCCGTGGAAACGTTGACTGACTCTATTATCAGTAACAACCATCAAACAGACAACATTATCATCATCAACGAATGAGAAATAATTAGCCAAAGGCAATGCCATTTTGGCTCCTCCTTTGAAGTGGAAAATCAATTCCGGGATTTTTACTGACTTATAGCCTGAAATATTGAAGCATGGCGCTAGGCCGGATATGTTTTCCACTTCACGTGCTCTGCTATAATTTCCCATTTGTTTCTCAAACTCTTTTGAGACTAGCTCGAAGACTGGTCTCTCCATGAAAGTGAACGTTGATCCTGAGTCCACGATGGTGCCTCCATTACCATCTGATCCTGGGACCAAAAAACTGTACGGAACTTTCACATACTTATCGCCAACAAGAATTTTACGTAGAGTTACATAGTAGAACTCTTGGAAAACTGGGTTTGAGGCAACTTGGTTCTTGTAAAACGGTGTGTAGCTAAGACCCCGGGTGTTTGCATCACCCGAACCAGACCCGGTTTCCAACAACATGTTGCTGCTGATGCCCGTGTCATCGAACCGGCGAGAAACGAGGCAGTAAGAGAATTTCTTGAGGCCTAATTGGGATGGTAAAGACTCAATGCTCCGACCAAACCCGGCTATTCCAGCGGGTTGTCGGTTGGAGACAATAGAGCATCCAACAAGGAAATCTTGGGAAGTTTTCTGAGGAAAAACAAGGTTTTCTAGTAATAGAAGTCCGCCAGTGGAACCTGAACCGTATTGAATTAGGTAAGGAGGGCAAGTTTGAGTACAGTTTTTGGATGTGGGTTCACAGTCTTGGCAACGAGACTCAACGTCAGGACCAAAAAGCCAACTACACTTCGGGTTTTTGCAACCTACAAGCTTGTTGGAAGATGAAAGTTTCGGGGAAAAAGTGGGGATTTTTGTTGGGTCGACGTTAGGGAAAACGCATTGGGAACAAAGGTAACGAGAGGTGCAAGGGAACCAGGAGAGGCTGCTTCCAGTGTCCATAACGAAAGTGAGGGTTTGAGGCGGAGTTCCAAAACTGAGAGAGATAGTGTAGCCGCCATAACTGTGAGGAAAAAGTGGAGCCTTGAGAAGAGAAGAGGTAGCGTTGGTTTTGTGGTGGGGGTGTTTGAGGTGGTGGGCTCTTGAGACAGAAGAAGTGGCTAAGTTGTTAAGAATTTGGAAGGGATCGGAGGAAGGGTGGTGGGGTAAAGGAGAGAGGGAGATTTTGATGGTGGTGGAAGTGTTGGTGCCGGTGGTGGCGGATGATAGTGTTGTGGAGATGATAAGGAAAGAGAAGAAGGAGATGAAAGGAAGAGAAGCCATGGATTAAAAAAATGTTTTCTCTGTTTTTGCTCTGTTTTTTTTTTTTAAGTAGTATTGGGATAAAGTGGAATGGGGGGCCTGATGTTTCTCTTGTTGTTTGTTTAAAGAGAGAAAACAAGACAGTAGCAACGGTAGACAACTCGGCAGAGGAATCATGTTCGATTTGGGTGACGCTTTTTGGACACTGTAAGAGAGTAAATTACCAATTATGTCACCACCACCGTACCAAATTTAAATTAGATTCATTAATTTTTCTTTCTTTTTCATTTTTATAAGAAAAAATAAATAATAAATTTCTAAGCAATTGATCATGTTACATGAATCATGATGACACGACTCCTTCATTAATAAATAAAGTTGACTTGACTATAATATTTTTAAGTTAAATACATTAAAATTAAAATAAAAGATTATATTGAATAGAATTTAATGAAATTATTTCCCTTCAATTTGTTTTTAATATTCAAAAAAAATAATTTTTTAAAAATGAAAGTCTTAATTTAGGGATAAAATAAAAAATGTTAAGTGTTAAATTTTATATTTTAAACTTATTAAATATAATTTTTTAAAAACAATTATATAAATCAAATAAATTAAATTTTGAATTCAATAATTAAATTTAAACTCCTTCTTCTCAAAACATTTTTTTTTTAAATTCTCAATATTTTGAAAGGAGCTAAAAAAGAAGTGATGTGGAGGATTTAAAAAAAAAAAAAATACATGAAAAACTATCAATCTTTCTCACTTTAACAAAAATTTTCCAATATGCATGACTTCTCCTCTAAGTTTTGACCATCTATTCTCTTTCCTTAACCTTGCCTTTTCGCCTCTTTCTATAATACCAAACAAAAGAATACTATAAAATTTCAAAAATTCTAAGTTAAAGTCTTGACATGGGCTTACATTGGAAAAAGAAATACATAAAATCAAGTTTGTTCTCATTAAACATATGATCTTTAAGATTTTAAATAAAATAAAAATTATCAAGTTCACCATTGGATACAACTCAACCAATGTCCTTTGTGATTTCATTGTCAGCATTATTTTCCAACCCAACAAGGCGGTTTCATTAATTGTAGAAACAAAATGTCAAAATTATTTTAATGTAGGCATCCAAATTTTGCATGTTCGAATTTATCTATATGGAAAAAGTATCATTCTTGATTTACCGAAGAAATAAAAATTCTATTAAGGAAATTGTTTGACATTACTTTGTAATTTTAGATGAAATGAAGGATTTAATTGTTATTGTATGATATTTACATAGAGCTTTAGATGCAATAGAGTCTTATTGTCTATGACAATTGTAACTTTGAACAAGTTCTTAATCATTTATAAATTTTAGATTGATTAGCATAAATTTAATGAAAACCTATGATCAAAAGTTTAAACAAGGTGTCTTGTGAAACTAATTGTTAAGGGTTTTTTTTTTTTTTTTAAATGTTCTCCCACTTATAATTATATGAAATTATATTTTGTCAAGTACTATGTCTTAAGTGCACTTAAATTATCATAAATTTGAATTTAAAATTTAATTTAATTAATTTATACAACTACTTTTTAAAAAATGGCATTAAGTAAATTTCAAATTCTAATTCTAACTTACAAATTTTCTTCCTGTAATTTTTTTTTTTTGTAAAAAAAAAGAAGTTAAAGGTGAAACCACTACAAAAGTACACAGTCAGCTTTCATGGGACCGTTGGTGTTGAGCAAGACTTTTTTTGTTCCCATACGGCCAATAAGAGACAAAGGAAAGAAGAATAATTTAGGGCTAAACAGTGGTAATTCACGCCAGCCTTCCCATCAATTACAGGAATTATCACGTTTTTCTTTCGCGCCATCAAACCCTTGAATGTTCCCTGTGGAAGATGACTATTTTTCTTTTTTTTATAACTTACTTCAAAAGCAATTAAAGCATATAAAATTTTTTTATTTTTCCAATTAAAAAGAAAAAAAATTCTCATCTCTTTGCTTTTGTGGAAACAGGAAATGGGAATTGGACCAGATAGGGCCTTTCAAGAGTTGCGCTTATTTTATCATTTTATGGGTTGATCAAACGAGTTAATGAACTTATCTGGCTGAAAAGCTCATCGTTTTATATTATGGATGGGCTCTGGCAACTTGTTTTCTGCCCAACTGCTTTCTGCAACATGGGTTAACTTCTCTCAGCAACGGTGTTGCCATTTGCTGGCAGCCCTTGCAGGCTTGTACCCTCAACGGCTTTTTCAGCCCACTGCAGTTTTGGGATTAGAGCCTTATGGAAATATTTTCATAGATTGTGTTTACGGTTCTGTTGGACTCCCGAAGCCTTAAAAGCTTAACATTAAGAATGAATGTAAATGAACAGAATTTTTATAAATTTTTTATGAATATATTTAGTTTTTATTTGTTTACATTCATTTATTAAACTAATCAAATACAAATAGAATATTTGATTTGTTTATAGTTATGAATAAATTTCGTTTATTTTTATTTATTATTCATTTTTTCTTAATTTTATAACTGGATATTTGTTTGCTTAAATTTTTTTTATTATGATTTATTTATTATTTTTGAATATATGTATATATATTTATAAATATGTTCGTTTAATTTTTATGAACGAATTTATTTAATTTAAAAAAGTCAAACACAACTGAAACAAACTTTTCATCATTTAAACGAATCTAGCTCAAATGTAATAAATAATTTTTTTATCAAATACGAATAAAATATAAACAAACTATAAATATGTGTTCATTCATTTGTGTTGAAAAACGTTGTAAATTTGCATGGTTTTCGCGTTGAAGTTGATAGAATTGCTAACAACGTGTGATCTGAATGTTGAATTGTTTAATTTCAATGAATCTTCTTCCCGATTTCACCAACAACTAGCTATTGGCAACTTAGATTATTTTATGAAGTTTTCAAACATAAATTCTAAGATCACCATTTATCCATTATCTTATAAGCTTCAAGTACGTAAAAAACTGGATAATTTGGCAAAACAAGTTAAAATGCCGTTCCTAATGAAATGGAAACAATGTTATTCATCAAACATTAATTGGATCATTGCAACATTTTTAAACTACAAATGGATTAATTATAAAGTAAGATGACAACCCATTGACATCTGCTTGTTCGAGATTGCTAGAGCCTAGAGTCAAGCTAGCATTTCCTGAATTTAAATACAACATATAATTTTTATCTGTTCGCCAACTGTATGTCTCACAACCAAAGAAATACAAATGATCAAATCCTGGAAAATTCAGTTGCCTGCATCGCCTTCGCAATAATTTATCGGGGAATCTAATTTAGAAAACTATATATTTAATGATAATTTATGCTCTGACAGTTTCTTCTCATAGATTTTTGGAGATCATACCCTTAATTATCATGGGCATTTTCATGAATTTTAAGCAAAAAATAAAATTTTTTTTGAAGGTTTTGGCTGTTCAGCCTTACTTCATGATTTCCTTTTGTAAATGTTTTTGACCAAATTTGTACATTATATTTAAAAAAAAAAATTTGCGATCAAGGATTCTTTTAACTGATAATTATAAATCCACGTGCATTTTCTTATTTCATTATCACAATAAAACAAGAAGAAAATAAAAATAAAAGACTAGTAATTAAATCTAGAGCAGTACCTGGATGGCAGGATGATGGTTTTGGAAAGATAATCCAAGCAACCTAAGATAATCTTATCTTCTCAAAAAAATATTTTTAATTGAAACATGCATTTTGGCAATTTTCAGCGCATTCATGTTTGCTTTTCTAAGAATTAATTTACTTAGATTTAGATGAACAAGAATGAACAGAGACTGACGCTGTCTAACTCAAAAAGATTTAAAACCAATTACTGCCAAAAGAGGCAAATTATGGTCAACGACAATCCCATTTTCTCATGTCTAACTTGCAAGTTAAGTATTTTATTTTAGAACTACTTGTTCGTTCACACTTCCCACTAATAAATAACAATTATTAATTAATCTTTTAACATTTAATTTATTTCTAAATTAAATATTGCACATCATGGTATTGGTGAAAATTAAAAATAATTAAAAAAGGTTTGATTTTGAAAAAAGGAAGTTATATGATAATATCGATTATCATGGGTGAGTAATTTTTTTTATAAATGAAAGACAAATATTTTTAAAACGTTTTATTATTATAATTTTTATTTAATTTTAAGTGAATTTATTAATTAAATTATTATTTAATAAATTTGTTACATCAACTCAATTAGTTCAGTCAATGTAATATTAATATAGAATATTGGTATAGATTATGTCACTATATAAATTACTCAAACAATAAATGTAAAACATTAAATATAAGAAAGAAGCTCGAAAGAGTTAAGAACAAAAGAAATAGAAAAGGGATATAGGCAACGATAAAGGAAAAGATATTTAAAAAATGATAAAATTAAAGGTTATTTTTATTATTTTAATGATTTTTAATTTTATACTTAAATCTTAAGAATGATTTTTTTATTGATATTAATATTAATATAGAATGTACGATCTTTATGAAATTATAACACATTTTGTCTTGAGTGAACAATTTATTTGTCTGGATTGTTATGAGTTAAAAGAATTATTCATTTGCTTTAGTCTAAAAAATTCTTTATAAAAATAAATCAATAATCTATCCATTTAAGAAATTTTTTTTTCCTAAAATGGACTTCTGAATTGTTAATGGAAAGTGGAAACCGAGCAGTTTGCACATGTTCCCTGGAGAACGTAGTATAATATTTAGCACTAAAAAACAGAGTATGAGCCTGCTGGCTAAAGCTAAACATAATAAACCAACTGCACAATAACCGTCAAGCCATTCATCCTTGAGACTGATCAAGCTTTGAAAATCTCGAGAACAATGAAAAAAAAACCAACACATCAATAGAATTTGACACAAAGCCATCAATAGTTTGACAGCAGATCGCACAGAGGAAAAAAAAAAAAGAAAAACCACCCTGTGCTGTCCTACCCCATCTCATCCCATCCCATTCTGCTCTGTTTTGTTCTCTTCTGTCAGCGTGCGCTCGTGCCATCTCCACGATCCTTTCTATGCCTTCCTGCGTCGGTTACGCTGCCGGCGGCTTGTCCCACACCAGTGTCTCTATCTCTCATGTTGTGGGACCCTCTCCCTCAGCAACAGTGCTGCCTGTAAGTCTCTTTCATTTAATCCCGTGGGGCCAATTGCCCACGCCCCCTTTGGCAGACCCAGCTCCTTCGGCCATTTCGGCCCCGTTAAAATCTTAGTCGACAGGGTCGGAGATCTTTCCACAACGGTTGAATCTAACGGCAGTCATACCCTCCACGTCCAAGCTTGAGGTTGACAACATTTGTCGATTACAAAAAAGCAAAAAAACATAAAAACCGTCACCGTTCACAAAACAGTACCTTTATTTTTTAAGACTAGAAGATTAACGTTGCCGACCGTTGTAATTTTGGTTTGTTTACTGGCTGCTACATGTGTGGATTATGAACTGGAATTTGGATGAACTGTCACGTACTTTCTTTGAAATTGCTTTATCAATGTTTCTTAGTATTAAAAGTAAAAACGAAGAATACTATTTGCTTTTCTTGAAATACAAGCAAATAATACGAAGAATATTGTCATAACTCTTTGTTTTCTCTGGTCTAAAAGCAACTCACTTTTTCATTACTTTGGTATATATGTTATGATTCCAATTTGCATGAACAATAATTTTTATTTAATATTTTTTTTTGTGTTATAGTATTGCATTTTGTTTTCAGATTACTCTTCATATGAATATGTAATAGTATTTTAGTCTTTTATGGTACACAGGAAATTTAGATGAGAAAATTTTCAATATCAGTAAGTTTTAGAAGTGGTCTGATAGCCAAACACGCCATGGGAGGGAGCATTGCAACAACAAGCAGCGGAAATATATGGAGTGATGCATGGCATGGGTCTGCTTATTATTATATCATCACATCAATCAATCAAAAAGCATAAATCAAGCAAAAGCAAAATCATTACATTTGTCAGTACATAAGCACAAGATCATTCCCCAAGGAGCATTTCCATTTCCCAAAGGCCCCTTTGCCTTTGCCTTTATTTATAAAATTTCACCTGCTGGCTCCTAACAGCCCACGTGGAATTTTTCATTGTAAATTAGGTCAACATTGTTAGTTTCATAATTATCTTTTGAGTGTTTAACTGTAGGCTGTTCTCATTAAATTCTTTTTTAATTACAGTGAATTTTTTTATTGCTAAATAAAAGATATCAGATAATTTCTTTAGGGCAATAGTTGTTCTAGAATTTTATTAGTTACGTATTTTACAAATTAGTCAGAAGCCATTAAATTAATGTGATAATTAGTATGTTAACATCCAATGAAACAGTGCCTTTGACCAACTGACTTTTTGGGTAAATTAATAATTTTACTCATCGAAGGCATGAAATTTTTTAATTTTATAAATAAGATTAAGATGATAATATATATATTATTTTTTTAAAATTAAAAAATTTTAAATATATAAAAAATATATGTCAACATTTTAATTCCGTTTATAAATTTAAAAAATTATTTTTCTCATCTAAGACATCTAATTAATAATGAAAAATTATTTGATACATTGATAATCAAATTATTTAATTTTATAAGTAAGATTAAGATAATAATATATGTGTTATTTTTTAAAAATATATAAAAATATGTATTATTATTTTAATCCCATTTATAAATTTTAAAAAATTCATTATATTTGTTAATTTCTCGCTAAGAATTTACTCCTTTTTTTTTTTGCCAATTTAACAAGTTGGTTTAAAAATTAATTACACTTTTCCAACTAATGTGGGATATTTAATTAATTTAAAACTAAGGAATTGGAAGCCCTTCAACCGGCACTGGCAGGCGCACCCAAAATATTGGGGTTTTTTTAACACGTGAGCGTCATGCTTTTCTAATTAAACAAGACAAATGCATTAATTATTTTAGAAAGAACAATAGTGAGAAACTTAATTATTATTTATTTTAAGAAAGAACAATAGTAATGTTCTAATTGAGATGGAAAATGCCACAATGAGGTTGCTCTCGTTTAATTCTTATGAGCTACTTTCAAAATCTTATAACAACATATGCATACATAACATGCATTATTATATTGAATTCTATGCTAAATCTTCAATGGAGTTGGGATGATAAATGATAATAATTTATAAACTCAAACTCCACTTATTGTTGTTAAAAGATTATGGTTTGTCTCTATTTTATAGGTTTGGTTTCGTGATAGTGAAGTTAAGAACCAATAATTTTATATTTAAATATCTTGTTTCATATCTGATAATTTTTTTTGTTTACAAATTTTAATTGTATAAAAAATATATATGTAAGAAAATATTGGTATTATGTAAATATGAATTGATTTCATACTTAACTGAATGTATTTCATCAACAATTTCTTATTATAATCATTCAATTATAATAAAAAATATGTAAGGTCACTATTTATAAATATATATTTCATATAAAATTTTGATAAATTTCATACAATTTTAAATTGTGATTAACTAATTATAGTATAAGATGGTACGTTCCATATTTTAGTATGTATTTATGTATGTATATCATGATTAATATACATAGGCTTTTAATCACGATCTTTTATTCTCTTTAAAGAAACATTAATATCCAACGTTTATTTATAAATTTAAAGAATTCATAAATTATGGATTTAGAGATTTTAAGTTTTATTATTCATTGGTAAAAAAAAAAGTTTTATTATTCAATTTTTAACTTTTAATTTTCATTCATTATAATTGAAAATTTTACAAAATTTTTTAAAATATGAATTATTGTATGTTATATAAATCATTATTCATGTTGATTAATCTTAACCAAAGCCGTGCCAAAAAAATTGAATATTTGAAGGATTTGTAGTTGATGTATGATTAATATATAAATATTATATATTATTAATGAATCATATAGTATCATTTTATAAAAAAATTTTTAATATTTTTAAAGCTAAGTATTTTATTTTAAAAATTTAAAATAAACTTTTATGAAATATTACCATGTTATATATTGATAGCATATAGCACTCGTACACCGAAATTACATCAAACTCATATTGGAAAAGTTTATATTATCCACGTGGATGAAAACTACTGGCTGACAGTGTAAAACCGAGACAAATGCAAGGCACATCACTATAGTCTCCATTTTTCCAAGTTCCCACTTTGGGTTTATTTTGCTCCGTTAATCAATCAATAAAAGTGGTCCCTCTCTGTCCATAAAAAGAAAATCGATATTTTCAACCTTGAAATTGAATTATTAAGAGACGGTATTATATTGTTGAATGTGGGGTTGGAAACATTTTTCTGTTCTACATGCTTACCTTGTTCTGATTTCTCAACTTTCTTCAAAGGACATCATTATTGTTGGAGAAAAAAAAAATAGTGAAAGAAACAAAGAAAGGAAGAAAGGGAAGAAAAGAAGGAGATGGAAGAGACAGAGTCCAGGTTTAAAAGGATTTGTGTGTTTTGTGAGAGCAGTTCAGGGAAGAAATCTAGCTACCAAGAGGCTGCTGTGGAGTTAGGCAAGGAACTGGTAATTTAAACAATCAACTCTTACTTTTTCTTCTTTTCTTTTCTTTCTGAGGATAAGTATTTTCTCTCTCTTTTTTTTTTTTTGCTTCGTTTCATTTGCAGTTTTCAAGAGTTTCCCAGGAAGAATATTACAATTCCAATTTGGACACTTTTTTTTCGTACTTGTTTTCAGAACTATATTCCAACATTCCCATCTCGAACTGCGATTTCCTAATTCCCATTGCTTCCAACATGGAACATTGTTTTGTTTTCTAGAAAATTTCATTCAATGAATGAGCTTGGTGCAATTCTTTGCCATATACGAGGAAAACACTTTCTTCAATCATATCCACTAACTCCTTTCTTAAGTTTGTATTCCTCTTAGATCCTAGAAATGATTTTTTTCTTTTATGAATTCTTTTCTTGTTCTTCTCAAGTGGGGGATGTTGAATGCTGAAACAATCAAGCCTTCGACGTGCGCTTATGATTGTAGAGGGAATTAGCTGTACAAGGACTAAGGAGAGAAGGTTTAGAGTTTATGTTTGGCATGAGAGAGAGAGAAAGAGACGGACTTTGCTAGCTGTAACCTGCCTGTCAGTTGAGCAGCCTTCTTGCATGATCTTTTGTTTATTTTTTTTAAGAACCCTTTGAAAAATGAAATAATACAGTAATATTATTAATAAGAACTATAATAATCAATAATCAGATATTGAAAATGAAAATCAGAGCGTGTTCTTCCCTTTGGCACTTCTTCAAAAAAACCTCCATGATTTTTGTTTATGGGATTCCATGAAAAATACTTATATATTTATATATGTCACTCATTTTGTAGGGTTTTGTTTTGATCATTCCCTTTCCACTCGACCTTATAATTGTTTTCTCAATTTGTTTATGTTTCCTATTGTTAATTATTCTATAGACAAAAAAATTTTAATGTTTATGTCCTTGTGACACGTGTTAATAGGGTTTGATTTGATGCATTTTAGAAAAATGGTTTTTTTTTTTGGAAGGTGGAGAGAAGGATTGATTTGGTCTATGGAGGTGGCAGCGTGGGATTGATGGGTCTTGTTTCTCAGGCAGTTCGTGATGGTGGGCGCCATGTTCTAGGGTTTGTTTTCTCTCTTTCTCTCTCCTTTTCTTCTTTTATTGTCTTCTTGTTTTTAAAAGACAAGCATCATTGTATATTTTTTTTAATCTCAAGATATGGGTAATGATCTTTGTGTTTTTTTGTTTTTTGGACTTTGAAATTGGTTTCGAGTGTTTGACATTTTTAAAGAGTTTTTCCTTCTTGAACCATGCAAAATTTTTTTAATTATCTATGGCAGTGGGACGTTTCTCAACAAAGGCAGACATCATGGGATCAAATGCTGCCCCAGAGATAATAATAGAATTTATTTGTCCCCCCCTTTTTCACATGTGTAAAAGGTTTCTGTTTCGAGTGGTCAAATTGGATTTGTGCAGAAAGGAACATAGTTTATCTCGTACATATATACTACAAGAATCTGAAAGTGCCTTTACTAAAGTTTTTACAAGGCTTTTTTTAAGCAGCTTTGATCGGCTGGGAAAAGTGAATGAAACACTTTTGGTCCTTGCATTGTCAGTCCACAATTGTACTCCCAACTTCCTGTTAGAGTTCATTTTAAAGTTGTAGACTCTATAATCTTTGAAACTCTTTTTGCAGTCATTGGAATGGAGCCCCTCCTTTTGACATAACTAATTGCAATTGTTACAGTTAAAATGACTTAGATGCCCCTGGACAAAACATAATTTTTTTATAATTTGTAGTCTAATTTCTTCCAAATTTGGAAGTAAAATCTACTATATTCAATTCTTTAGTTTATGTCCTTGGAATTAATGGTACTGATTTATGGTCGGTGGATTCTGCAGTGTAATTCCAAGGACCTTGATGCCGAGAGAGGTAAATATTTAGAGCCTTGTATCAAACCGCCAACTTGATCCGAGTTGTCTGCAGCAATATTATCTGATTTCTATTACCCATGAAATCGATCATTTACAATGACATGGCTGAAAACATGATAACATGATAGTTTAGCTGTCCAGCTGTAGCTGTCAGTTATGTAGCCTAATGAATAATGATAGAACTATATTATGGCTTACAGATTCCGATCGTAAAAATAAAAAGTGAAGTGTCAACATCTGAAAGCTGAGTGCAATGAAAAGTTTTTCACTCGGTTCACTTTCTGTTAACTGGATCTGCCATGTGCGTTCATAACACTAGGCAGTTAGTTGCTGCAGTGATTTGTTGCGTAGTGGATATCTGTTCGATTGTTTAATTTCTTACTTTTTTTACTCTTGTTATTTCGAATTTAGTAGTAAATTTTTAATGGAAGGTGTTGTTGCAGATTAGTGGTGAGACTGTTGGAGAAGTAAGAGCTGTATCTGATATGCACCAAAGGAAAGCTGAAATGGCACGACAGGCTGATGCCTTCATTGCACTCCCTGGTATGAATTCCTATTTGATTCGCACATCCCCTCTTATTCTTATATTTTGCTGTCTGTAATTTATCCATTGATCTGGATGTCATAAATATGTGCGGCAATACGTGCTTACATCACAGTATAATTTATTAGAAATGCTTGGCTTGGAATGCTCAAACAGTACTTTATACTTACGTGTAAATATGAAATGTTTTATTAAATATCAGGTGGCTATGGCACCCTGGAAGAACTGCTGGAAGTTATTACATGGGCTCAGCTTGGAATCCATCGTAAACCTGTAAGAAATATTTTACATTTCCCTCTTTTTTTTTTTTTTTGGTTATGTCGTTCATTGAGTATGATGGATTGGTAGACGACAGATAAGAACTTGGTCTCGAATAAAAATTATTTGGTCGCTTAACAATAATTGTAGGAAAAAATGATTTGCAATTAACAGTCTAAAATTAAATACATAAATAATTCTCCTTATAAGTGGTAAAAACAAAATCAAGGCAATGGTAGTTTATTACAGAGAAAATAATTGAGGTTGTCAACTACAGAAACATGTGGCTTTCCTCAACAGATAAACAAATGGATTTTTCACCATAAAATATTTGTTGTTCAACTTTTCGATCAATCTAATATATTTATTATCAGCCGTTCCTACGTTCACATGACTTCATGTTTAATTTTTTTTGTAGAACTCAACTTGGTTTCTAGTCTCACATTAATGTATATTTCTATACCGTCACCAAATCTCGAGTACATTGATGTTTTTTAGGTATTCCATGGTACTCTTAGAAAGCAAATATGACACTAGTTTTGGTAAATTAATATCTTATAAATGGTGATGTATTAGGGAGAAAAACTTTAGAATCAATTCATGTGGTGCTTCAATAGAATTCGCATGGAAAGATAGCATAAGATTTGATAACCTAATGATGCTCGTGCTTCATGATTTAGAGAATTGATTGGGAGAAAGGTTCTTACATACTATTTAAAATTAGGAAAAAAAAACAAATGTTGGTCAATTGAAGGTTTTGGTATTGTGTCTTAGGTCACTAGACAAGCCAATAGTACTATAATTTGATATAATAGACTTGGATATCATACTTAATTTATCAAATAATTTAAAAGTAAGTCGTATTCCTTTGTAGGTGGGTCTCTTGAACGTGGATGGATATTACAATTCTTTCTTGTCTTTCATCGATAAGGCCGTTGATGAAGGCTTTATTTCCCCGACTGCACGTCGCATTATCGTGTCTGCCCCAACTGCTAAACAATTGGTCAGACTACTAGAGGTAAGCAGTTCCTTCTAAAATATTCAATGGCAAATAAAAAACACTTCAAGAAAATGAATAGGAAACTCACATGTTTGAAGGTTGAATGACCCAAGTTCCATGGCATAGACTAATTTAAGTAGAATCACATGTACCCTAATCCCCTATCATTAACCATTTTTTCTTCAAGCAATGATGTCCCCCACTTTTCCATTGACTAAGGTTTTCTATGTTAAACAGGATTATGTACCAGAATACGATGAAATAACGTCAAAATTAGTATGGGATGAAGTGGATCGGTTTAGTTACGTACCCGAATCCAGGGTTGCCATGTGATACATATTGCCTCGGCTTTTTTTTTTTTTTTCTCAGCATACATAGGGGTATATACGGTCGTAACACCATACAACCAGCAATACAGGAACTTTTTGGTGGAATTTTGGAACTTGATGTTCGTGGAGGAAAGATGCTGTGTCACTTTCCCACTTTGTGAAACTGTGAAGAAATGATCATCAATTTAAAACCCACTATGACTACTAGTACTAGTTACGTTCATAACCATTAATTCATTAAGCCTCTCTTATCAATATGCTTAAGTAAGAAAGATGAGTAAAGAAATGGTAGTGCTTGATTAAGTTGGCCTCCATGCGTAAAAATAATTAGGCATTAGGATGGAATTTGGCTTCAATACTCCTTTCTTCTCTTAAGATTTCGTACATAATAATCCATGATTATATTCATAAATTAAAAAAAAAAATCAATGAACTTTGACTTGTAAAAGCAAAATGATATTCAAATGTTGGTTTGTTTAGATAATTGGACTTCAAATTTGATTGAGTTTGAATTCCTTATTCACCTAATGATCATTGAAAAAGTAGTTTACCGATTCAAACCGAAAGGATTCATGAATCAAGACCAAAATTTATCATACATATTAGAAAAATAGATTAATATAATTATATTATAATTTATTGGATTGATTATTAGGTGTTGAAAACGGTGTTTAAGGAATATATTTTCAAAATATTGATTTTTTTTATTTTAATTATTACATATGATGTGTAACAAATAATTAATTTTTTTCAATAATATAATTATGTAACATAATTTGAATGAAAGTGATATATAATGATATAACGTAACTCTTTTATATAATTTTTTTTCATTTTTGAATTGGCGTACTTGTTACAGAGTCATGGGATCATGGCAAATTGTGTAAAATTTTCTGTTCATTATCTAAATCCTAAGCTATAATTTTAATGTTTCCCGTCGTGGTCCTCTGAATCCTCTCAAAATCAAAATTTACTGAAAAAGCTCAAAATTCAAAACTCATGTTTACAACCGATAATGATAAGGAAGATGCACGTGTCACAGATTTAAGGAGAAGTCTCGAATCTCTTATCGAATATAAAATGAAGGTTACTGGGATGTAAAAGGGTTCGCACCATCTCTTCTTTATGAAATGTCTTTTGTAAGATAAAATCGTGAGATCAAAAGGGTCAGAACGGATAATAACTCACAATAATATAAATCGTGACAAGTAAATTGATCTGAAATGTCGGATGAGTGAATGCTCAGATCTCGAAACCGCGCGAGTCGAAACTTAATCTTGACCCATGATACACGTCCATGCCCATTTTAATTTCTCTTATTTATTTGTCATTTATTCATTTGAGAATTGATAAATTTGATTTTAATAAATTTAGGATTTAATTAAGTTGATTTATATTTTATGCAAGCATTTTAAAAATATAACAAATAAATTTAAATTTAAAATTTAATATTTACAATTCTTTTTTATATTTAAATTGTGATTTGATAAAAAAATACTGACCTTAAATTATGTAATAAATTATTCATGCAAAAAAAAAGATAAATAAGAAAAAAATGAATGAGCACCTAAAACCTAATAATTTGAGCTAAATACTAAAGTTTTATTTATTATATAGTTAATGTTATAAATATATCTCAAAAACAGTGAACATAGTTATAATCTAAATCGATAAAACTTTGATAAAGTTTTTTAAGTGAAGTTTGTGAAAATTTTTTTAAAAAGTGATTTAATAAAAATTTTAATAAAAAATGTAAATTAATAGATTAATAAAACTTAATGTTAAGATCAATAATATATAAAAAAATATTTAAAATATTTTTTATAATTTAAATTTGATAAAAACATACTTAATAATAAAAATTTTATCAAAATTTTTATGAAAAGTACTTATAAAAATATTAAAATCTATTAAAATTTTACACATTTACTTTATGTAATAAGACCTTTAAATTTATTAATTTATTAATTTTTATTTTTATTTAATTATTTTTAATATATAATTTTATAAATTTCACCTAAAAAATTTTATCTAAAAATTTTCTTCGAGGTTTAGTATTTCACGAGTCAACAGAAGGAAACAAAGCCGTCAATTGTGTTCCATAAATCATGTTGAATTCATATGTTGCTTTTTCAATGACAATAATATATACTATCACATGCATGTTACTGGGATTGGATTGGAATGGATTTTTGTTCGTTTCAAATTCAATTTGATTTTATATCTATAATATTTGAATCATATTTAATATGATAAGATTTTTTATTTTTTTTATCCGATTCAATCCGACATCATATAAAATTATATTCGATTCGATTTGATTTAAAATTAATAAAATATTTTTTAAAATATAAAATATTATTTTTAATGTAAATATAAAATAAAAAATAAAAAATATATACATAATTAAATAAATAATTAAAATAATAATATATACATATACTGGATCGGGATAAATTTACTTAAGATGCAACTCGACTCAAAACTTAATTTTAAAAAATAATTGATCCCATAAAGGCAAATCAGAGCAAAATACATCGAAGACATGTCAGAATCTGTTGAAAAATGGTTAGGCTATCATCCATAGTTGGAGTAAACATTTTTTGGTATGTCATATGAGAAATACAAATGATGTTCCTTTTCACATGTAAGAACTAGGGGTCAAGAAAGATATGACTTCTCAAATTTTTTTTCTGTCATTATTATGTTTAAATTGGATTAAAGACATTTAAATGTTGATGTTTGCAAATAAATGATTGTTTGATTTGTAAATTAATTTGGATGGTTTAGCATGTGAACGTTTATATGGAAAAAGGGCTTGCAATAGGTCATGCCTTGGCTTAAGTCTTATAAATAATGCAAGAGTAACACTTATACCTTAAATCAAATTATTCAGACTCATCTCTATTTTTTAAGCTTCGACCTTCCCTTTATCGAATGTATGTATATATATATATAGTCATACTTGAAAATATCTGAATTTGAGGTGTTCAATGTTTTATATTTTAAATATTACATTAAAAATTTTTAAAATTTAAATACCATATTACATATTTTATTATAATTTAACAATCATATTAACCCTTATAATTTATATAACGCGAGATACATGATTGGTCGTTGATCCAAGTGATGCTACTTGGATAACTTAAAGATTATATCTTTGTAATCCCACATCAAGATTCTTTGGAGTCAGCCATATCTAACAGACAATCCAACAGGTGACAGCTGTAGAGCCCTCCCTAGTTTCATCACGAAGCTGAGTATTTAAAACAAGTTGGAAAGCTTTTAGAAAATGGCCAGGAAAGAAAAATGGAAAAGAGAGAAATAATCAATTTTCTCCCCTTCGCCTCCATGACTTTCAGCATTCGTCATAATTACCTGGTTTCTACTAAGATCCTTTGGGCTTTGGTAATGCAGAAGTCAGGAGTAGAATTTTGACCCAGCGGACGGTCCCACCTAAAGCAGAAGCATATGAGCCACCGGGGCCAATGCCCATCGCTCATCGGGCCACTCTGATTATGCATCAAAGTCTTGCTCAGTAAAAGTGGGTGACAAAAATATGATTGGTTTTCTTTGTAAATGCATTAAAAAAAGCGCCAAGCCCAACTTAAAACATGATTATTCCCCAGACATTACCGACATTACCATCCAAAGCTCGTGATTGACAACAGATACTTAGAAACAAAACTCATTTAGACCATTACTGATGAACACAGATAGTCTCTGCCTTCTTCTTGCCTAGTGGCTACCCTCAAATTGCTGCAAAGTATTCCTTGCTCAGCTTAGGGTCTGGTTTCATGGATTTCTCTCCGGGCTTCCACCCAGCTGGGCAAACTTCATCTGGATTTTCTTGCACATACTGCAAGGCCTGCAGGAGTGCAAACCAAAAAAGAAAGGCAAAAGCAAATTACAAGATGATACATGCTAGAAAGGAAACTTTCAACATAAAGTAACATGTAAAATTTCAAAAATCAACTCCTAGAACCTGTTTGGATGCACCTCCCTCCCCCCAAACAAAAAAACATGGCACTCGGCACAAGAGTCATGCATCCAATCGGGACTTTAGTCAATTGCAGTTCTGGCCTACTAAAATATAAAATTACCTGGAGTGTCCTCATTGTTTCATCAACACTTCGCCCAATGGCAAGGTTGTTAATAGTAGAGTGCTGGATAATTCCCTCCTTATCTATAATGAAAAGCCCTCTCAATGCAATTCCCTGCCTTTCAAAGTTAACTTTGTAAGAAACATATGGTACAGATCATATTTGCAATAAAGAAGTGCTCAGTGTGGGGAAAAGTCTAGTAGTTGATAGAGAGAATGACAAGAGAGAGTGAGTGAGGTGGCATGGCTCTGAAAACAGCTTCCAGTTCTCAACTTATCAAGTGTTTCAAATAACTTGTTTTGTTCTTTTTGAATGCAAAACCTCTTTGTTTGACCACAATTTTCTTAGCTTAACAAACACTAAATTCCAAGATTTCAGCCAATTTTCAAAAATCAGGACATCTATACCTGATCAGGAATCAACACTCCATAGGATTTGGAAATTGTCTTGGTGATATCAGATATAAGTGGATATTTCAAATCACCAAGACCACCTGACTTTCTCTCTGTTTGAACCCAGGCAAGGTGAGAGAACTGCATAAATAATAAGTTGAGATTAAGTTCTATTTACTTAATCTAAACTATAATGCAACAAAGTAAACTTCAACATAAAATGACAAATGCGGATGCTTCAACGATGTATTAATGCTTAGTTATACTAAACAATAACTATAATCTAAGCTATAATAAACATACGTATTACATAGACTTCAAGCAAAAATTAAAAATGCAGAGCATCAGAAGCAAACATACAAAATCCACTAGAATCATAGCCTTTAGTAATATCAACTTTTACATGATATATAAGTTGATAAGCAGGTTTACAGTGATTGCAAAACTTTCCAGATTGAATAAAGTAACACATATTAAATTGTTTGCGGATCACTAATACATCGTTGAATGCAGTATTTTTTTGCAACTAGGACAGGAACATTCTCTATTGTTTTTCCTCTCCTATTAAACATCTCCTTGATCCACTCTGAAATGCTTGCTATAACAGCATTTCACCCAGGTTAAAAAGAAAACCATTAGCATTTCATTAGTGCTACTACAAATCTTCTAGAATTGTGGACATAAAATGTAGGATCATAAGAATATAGATAAACAATTACTTCACAAAACATTTAGAGTACAGTGCACTAGCAACATAGGATAATGAGGAAAAGAAGTATTTTGTAATACAATGCAGATATCTTTAACAACCTTTGGTAAGACAATGTGCAACTCTGTGACTATATGATAGGCCCACTACAGTGATGATTATAAAATTGCAAATCATTATAATCATGTATCTTCAAAATTAGTCAATGACAGCCAAACATAACTAACATCATTACCTACGCTACACAAGACAAAAAGGTGACTCAACCAGGAATGCAACACAATTTATTCAAGAAAAAAAATAACAGCCAGAACCAGATTAAACTGAACCAGGTTAGATGTTATCAGGGAAAAGGAGGCAACATTTGACCCAAAAGTGAATTGTCCACTCAAACTGTCCAAAATCCAAGACCACCCAACCTGCATTAACTCAAAACTGCCAACAAGCTGAAACTGAACATACCTGAAAGTCTATTGCCACGTCTATACATAACCAACTAGCAAAATACTTAAGACTAAGATGAAGATGGAAGCACTCATTTAAGAATCTGCTGTGCCTGTAGGAAACTACTAACTTTTATTACGGGAAAAGAAATATACACAATTTTCGCTATGACAATAGGAAACAGCTAGGAATGAAGAATAGAAGTTTTTCTTTCACCTTCTTTTGGTAACAAGGAACTTACCACACTATCAGTAGAAACACCTAATATTTCTGTGTTTAGCTTCTCAAATTCTTCATAGCGGTCACTGAAAGCAGTAATCTCTGCAAGCAGGAAGAAATTTGGGGAGGTAGAAGTAAGAAGAGGATCCAATATCATAGAAAATTTCAGTTTAAATGTTCAAAGTGAAACAAACCTGTAGGGCAAACAAATGTAAAGTCCAATGGGTAGAAGAAGAGAATCACATATTTCTTCCCAATGTATTCAGAGAGCTTGACCTGAAACAATGATCCATTATTTAGAATAAAATTGGAAAAAAATTCATTTTAAAAGGGTAAAAAAAGCTGAAGTGCCTAAAAATAATTCAGTACAAATATCCACATAAAATACCTTAATGAACTCCTGATCAAAGACAGCCTCTGCCTCAAAATCGGGAGCAGTATTTCCTACCAGTGGAAGATCACTCTGCAAGAAGATGCACAAAATGAGAAAACCATATGAGAAATTATGCAGATACAGAAACAGAATATAACCTGAAAACAATAATGTGCCATCAAAAAATTCAGAATTTGTTTAGAATATACAAGTTCATGACTATTTTTTGAATTTCACTTAACATTTGTAATTTGATCCGCACTTTTTATTAATCAACAAAATTATAGATTTTAAACATACTAATTCATTTAAAACTTCATTCTCAAATGATATAAATAACCATTTTTATTTGGTTCCCCACAAAATTTACCAGTGGAGCCGGCTTTAGCTTACGATTTTGTCTTTTCAATGGGGTCAAAGACGCACATTCACCGAGCTAATCCTTCACTGGGTACACTCATCATAATAAAATTTTCCATCTTTGTTTAAAAAATCAAAACCGGTTCCCAATTTCTCATTTTTAACTCATTCTAATCAATTCCTTCTTAAAATGACTACAATGTTCACTAAGCGGAGCTAAAGCCAGTACATCCTAATAAATTTAGGTTTCAATTGTTCGCATTAATAAAATAAACAATTAAATAATTATAAAGGGAATAAATATAATACGCTGGCTTTGACGACGAAACTCTTCCGAGAATGGCAGGCGCGGGAGAGGGAAACGGAGCGGGCGACACGAGAAAGTAGAGGGGCACGGAGACCGGTGAAGGAATTGGGGAGAGGAAGAGATTGGGAGATGGGGTTGGATTTGGTAGAGAAAGCCCTAGGGTTTGATGAGAAGAGAGCCACGGTGGTTGAAGTAGCAGAGTAAGCCATCTCTCTCACTCACTAGGCTTCGAGACGGAAGAGTGTGAGGCGTACAAATGAAATTTCCAGTGGGTAAGAGGATAAGTGGACAGCGTGGGTTTGGGTTTGGACCGTTTGGTAGGTTTTATATTGGTTTACGGGCTCCACACATTAGGGGCAACCGGAGATCTCGGTGAACTAAAATGTGAAGGACGTTTCCTCCTTTTCTTTAGATTTTTTTTTTAATTTAGCTTTTGGGCTAATAGCCCAATTTTCCATGTCGTAGCTCTTGAAAAAAAAGTGTAATTTTCCAACAAATAAAGGCTCAATTAATTAAATGATTAATTAATCGAACTCGAAAATTTTAAATTAAATTTTAATTTTGAGTCAAAGAGATGTCCATTTTTTAACATAATAAACTTATTTTTACTAATAATCGTTGTGTGGCTTTTCGATAAAACATTAAATTTTTATTTTTATCAGAATTTAATCAATAGTAAAACTCAAATATTAAAATAAAAAAAATTATTTATACTTTTGAGAAGCCCAATTTTTTAAGGTACATCTTTAAGGAGTACTAATGGTAGCCAAGGTCTAACCCAAGAAACTTGGGCCATGTCCATTTCCCTTTCATCTCCCTTGTTGGCAAATGGAACATTACCCATTTTTGTCCAAATTCGACGAACCATTATCTTTAGAATTCAGATGGCAATCTGGCTAACAATCTATCTTCGAATCATAAAGTTTTTGGAGCCCTTATCCTCTCTCTTTCTGTCTCCAATTTTCCCGCCTTTATTTTTCGCTTTCCTGACCAGAAAAAACAAAAACGTAGACACCACCACACCATGCAAGACGCACTCCCTTCCCCCCCCCCCCCCACCCACCACCACCACCTTCCCTCCTCCCAATATTCACTTTCCTTCTCCGCGAAGCCTGTGTCAACGCCTCCGATTTAAATAAAGTAATCAACCGACGGCCCAGATTACTCACATGCAACTTGGAAACTCATCTGCGTCCCACCCTATATTTCCTCCAAAACATCGGAATCTCCGAGGTCAAGAAACACACTTACTTACTGTTTTGCAGCGTGGAACATAAACTGATTCCTTGTTGCGAACACTTCCAAAAGATCGGATTCTCTTACAGACAAACGATTTTGATGTTTCGTAGATTTCCCCAACTGTTTAATTACAGTGTTAAGGAAAATTACGAGCCGACATTAAATTATTTCGTGGTGGAAATGGGGAGAGATTTGAGAGAAATTAAAGAGTTTCCTCAGTATTTTGTCGTTTAGCTTGGAAAATAGGATAAAGCCAAGGCACCGATGTTGTCTTGAAAAAGGGTTTAGTTTTCCTTTGCCTGTTTTGTTAAAGACAAGTGAAGTTGAGTTTCGCAATGGATTGGAGGTTTGTTGTAATTCCACGTTGCCGGTTAAGGGCTCTCCTTTGTGGTCTACAAAAAATTGTGATCTTTAATACTATGATTCAATATACAGTAAAAAGAAATGAATTGATTTTTATTGACTGGTATTTCGTTTTCATATCATGTAAAAATTTTGTGATTGGAATCTGAAACTAAAATGGGTTTCCTTCAAATTTTTATGTGGCTCTTCATTTTTGTGTTTTAGTTTAAGTATATTGAAATGATGATGAACAGCAGGAGTAAAATTCAAACTGAGTAGAAAATCATTGATGGTGACAGTTTCTGAATGGTTCATGAGCATCGGTTGAGAATTTTTCCACCCTCTCTTCCTTTTAGTTTCTTCTGCATTCTGTCTTTTTAAGAACGTTTACTGGTGACATATTCTCTGTAATCTGTATGTTCTGTGGCGGGTGATTGACCAATGAGATGACTACTTTGATAATTTACAATCTGGAGGTTTATTGCACATTTTCTCACTTTTCTCCTATAGTTAGGTTGTCTGCAGCCCTGCTGCTGCTGAATTCTTAGTCAGTACTTATGATGGCAATTGACAAGCCTAGGTTTTGACATGAAAATGACCAAGGCATTCTATATATATTTCAAGAATCAGTAATTTGGAACTCCGCCTCAGTGGACAACTTACTGTTTTCTTCCATTATGTACTTGAAAGTCCTGTCGTCCCCATGCCCTCCTGTCATTATCATCTTTGAAATTAAGATGGTTTATAATGTTTACAGAGCTGTGTTAGTTTGTTGAATTTCTAGTTAAGTGACCTATATGTATCTGATTCTTGGTTGGAAGTAGGATGAAAAGTAAAAGAGACTTGGTGTTTAATCCCATTAAAAAGCTTACTTTTGGCCTCACTGATTGGATTGCTCACTTGCACTTATAATGGCCTCCATTGCTACCTCTGTAATGCATGCCGTTGGGCAAATGGGAGAAACAGTTTCATACTTCACCAGAGCCTTAATTCATCTTCAAGGGGATAATCCAGTAGTCCACCTTGTTCTCCGGCCAGCGACTCCTGTGCACTTGCTAGAACATTTCTACTACCATCAGTTTGAACAAATTTTTACAATGTTTTGTTTCCTATAGACATGCTTAATTGCATATTAAATTAACGCAATAATTACTTCGAGGGCCTGCTTCAACCCCCATGGAGCTTCATGCATTGTACTCTGAGAAAATGTTTCAGCATTAAAGAGTAAGAAGCGACCGAAACAAGCTTAATCCCCCAGTTTCTGGCAATGGTAAGAACCATCCTCACAGCTTCAAGCAAATGGAACAGTACAATGGCAGGAAGACCAGCAACAGCCAAAGTTACAATAGCCTCCCCTATCTCATTTCTTACCAGACCCATCAGAACTGAAATTATTGCAGTTTTTTATGGGGTTTTTGGTTTTCCCACTTTAGAACCTTGTATGCTGCTTTCTTCAATGTTCTGAAAACAATCGAGTATTTCTTTCCATCCAGATCTGACTGGCGGTGCCTGAGAAAGCAGTTTTCTTTACCCTACTTCCTCACTGCTCTGACATTTCAAAAGAATCCAACATTCTAACCTCAAGTAAATCAGTCCAAGACTGGAACTTGACGCCTTGATTAAGGATACTTGCAGGAAAATTATTACTATAAATTGGTCGGAACTTTAGGCTTTAAAACTTGAAAAATACAGGCCCAAAAAAGGATGAATGTGACAGAATTAACAAGAATTATATGCTTAGCTTTTACTTAGCTACTTAATAACATGTGTTTTTATTTAAAAAAAAAAAGAAGATGGTTGGCGTTTTGCCATTTGTCATGAATCATGATTGCTCTTTTTGGTCCTTCAAGTTTAGGGTTTTGATGATGGGTAACAAAAGCCATGAAGTAGAATAAACGACAAAGAAAGGCGCCTACTTCAGCTCTTTTGTAATTTCCATTTTTGGCTTTTTACACTATATCATTCTTTTTTTGTTATCATTTTGCAGAAAACACCTCAAACTCTTGTTTTATATTAGCAAATTTCCTACTGTTTTTTTTTTTTAATTTTCTTTTAAAATATTTCTACTTCAATTGTTTTTAATCTATGCTCCTAGTTTATTATCATAATCTTTCTCTCTCCATATAAAGTTCATGGAGATTCTAATAAGATATTGGAGAAAAAAATCAAAATATTATCAAACTGATATCAGTATTTATGTTGCAATTGCATACAATTAAAGCAAATAAATCTCTTTTTTTAAAAATTAAAAATAGAAAACATGTTTTCCTTTTATCCTTTTACATTTGACATGTGCAAGATATGAATGTATGAAAGTTATTGCAACTTAATTTCTTAAATCTTAATTGAATAAATCCTAATTCCATATATTCTTTTTGGGACAAATTGCAAAAAGAAGAAGTTAAGAGACAAAACGAGGAAAAACCAAAACTTTAATACATTAACTGTAATTTTCTACAAAATGCTTCCCTCCACATCTATCCGAACTAAAATTCCCTCCCTTCCCTCGTTTTCTGCTCTATAACCCTTCCATTCACCACTTTCCTCTTCCTCCTCTCTCTTCCTTTTTTTTCAATTCCATTTCTACTCTCGCCTCTCTCGGGATTTCCTCTCACTCTTTCTCGAAATCATTATCCTCCATGTCCGGCGGCGCTCGAGCGTCCGCTCGTCCCACGCCGCCGTACCCCCCACCTTCTCCGGCTGCCGCCTCAGCACCTGTATCGCCGGGTCCTTCGATTGTTCCGCCGATACGTCGCCACTTGGCCTTTGCCTCGACGAAGCCGCCGTTTGTTCATCCCAATGATTATCATAGATTTTCCTCTAATAATAGTAACAACAATTTAACCACCGCTAACATTGCTCGTGGAATCATCGCCGATCAAGAAGTTGAAGCGATTGTTGTGAAATCTCCAGTGAGTTTTTTTTTTTTTTAATTTTCTATTATTAAAATATATTTTACATTTTAAAAAAATTGGTGTTTACGGCGTAATAAGTCAACATATTTTTACTTTTATGGTAATTTATACTCTAACTTGAAATTTTTTGTTAGATTTTGTTCAATTACAACTTTTTAATGATAATAAATACTCTATTCAGTTTTAAATTATATGTTTCTGCAGTGAAATTGTTATGCCTGTATTTTAATATGTGAACTTTTCGCAGGGCATTTACGATTTGGGTGATGTATTTGATGATATAATGGGCTTTGGGTAGAGTAAAGTACTCCTTTGCTGAACTAAGTTGAAATTTAATGAACGCCAGTCTCATCAAATGCCCGAAACTTGATAGCTTATACATATTAATCCCTGTGAAAGCTAGGTTTTAGTATTACAACTTTTGACAGACGTGCTGACGAGTGAATATCTAGCTTTCGGGTTTTGGTTTATGATGTTTTAGATTTCAAACATAATTGTAATTGATAGTATATTAGTTTTATGTAATAAACTTGCTGTACTCGTAGAGGAAGCTGATGCTTGTGCTGCATTGTTGGTTTAAACCAGAACATTGGATGCCATGCGCTATATGAAGAAAGCTTGAAGTTTGTTATTCTTTGGATGTTGCAGATTTGATGGACGTTTGATAAATGATTCAGTTGATATTGTTATGACTTTGACTGCATAATTTCCCCCTTCTTCAAAATATAACTGCTAGCCTGTCAACAAACCTATAGTCATATGTGATATTCCTTACTCTCATTGTCCTCCACCTAATAACAATTGAATCACTGGTGTTTCTACATGATTTTTCATGACATTGATCCCTATGAGTTTTGGCCTTTGCAAAAACCTTTTGCATCAAGTAGTCAAGTAATTCTGAAGGTTCTTATGGCTAACAGTAAGTTTTTATTATACATATTGTCCTTTATTTGCATTTGTTAGACTTAGGCTTTTTTTTTTTTTCAATTCAATTGGATGTTAGTGTAAATATAACCACACACAAATTATGAGTTAAACTTGTAATTGTTCTTGCCATTAGCACCACTTTGAAATGCTGCTGGTTTTTCTCAGCAATTAAAAAGGAAGGGCACGGCGGACAACAATGAAGTTGAATCTAGCCAATGGATAACCAGTCCAGGAGTTATGGACATATCCAACAGTCCCTTCCAGACACCTGTATCTGCTAAAGGAGGAAGGATAAATAATAGATCAAAGGCCAATAAATCTACTCCTCAAACAACTGTGTCAAATGCTAGTGAGAAACTTTGTCCATTCATCCACTTTATTATTTCATCTTTTTATTGTCTTCTACGAGCTTAGTCCACAGAAGGAAACATATATTTCATTCCAGAGCTGTATACACGAGTTTGATTGCTTTATTATTAGTATTCTCATTTGCCAAGAAAGAGAGATAGAATATGGAGAAGAAGAACCACTGACATTAAATATGTTAATGGGCAGGTTCTCCATCTCCTCTTACTCCTGCTGGCAGCTGCCGTTATGACAGTTCTTTAGGTAATCTTAATAATTTTTATTTTATTTTTTTTTAACACGGGCTGTTTTGATAGCTCCTAAAACTTTATACTTGGTGAGGAAGGTAATAATGTGGTTGATATTTTTAGGTTTGTTGACAAAAAAGTTCATCAATCTGATAAAGCACGCTGAAGATGGTATCCTTGACCTAAATAAGGCTGCAGAAACATTGGAGGTAATGATATGCAGCTAACTGAGTTTATGTACTATTGGGTGTTTTGTCATGTTATTGAAATGGTTCTTTTTTTTTTTTTTCTCTAAATGTTGTAACAGGTGCAAAAGAGGAGGATGTATGACATAACCAATGTCTTGGAAGGCATTGGTCTTATTGAAAAGAAGCTCAAAAACAAAATACGTTGGAAGTAATTATTGATGATGTTAAACATTTTTCAAGAATTTGTTGTCTTAATTTGGTTTGTCATTCTGGTTAACTCCAAAGAACATGGGACTTATTTGAGGATTGATCAAATTTACTAGGGGTGTTGATGCTTCAAGGCCAGGAGACGCAGATGGTGATGTCTCTGTGTTACAGGCATGTGGAAGTAATATCAGTTTTGTTTTTCTTTGATATCCCCAGGCAACAGTTTTTCCTGTTATTGTGCTTTAGAATGTTTCTCTATTTCTTTATTTTGGTTTATGAATTTTAAGAGAACGTTCAATCTGTGCTTGTTGACCAATCTCTTGTTTATTTCCTATGCATATGATCTTAATTTCTATTATGTGCAGGCAGAAATTGAAAACCTTTCCATGGAAGAGCACAAATTAGATGATCAAATAAGGTTATGCATGGCTTATTCTCTTGTTAGAGTAGTAACTGTTACTGTCTCAAACCTGTTTAGGAATGCTAATGCTTCTAAAATATTGCAGAGAAATGCAGGAAAGATTGAGGGATTTGAGCGAGAATAAGAACAATCAGAGGTAAGATTTTCCACTCTGCCTTGTACTAGGATCCAATTAATTGCGGTTAACTGCTAACTGTTTGCAAACAAGGATACATTTACTCATCTTCAAATTGTTTTAGGTGGCTTTTTGTGACTGAAGAAGACATCAAGGGTCTACCTTGTTTTCAGGTCAGCTTATTCCATGTTTCATTAAATTTATACTTTCACAATCATCTTCTGTACTTGCCACTGATCTCCAAGACATCTAGGTTTTCCTATAGCTAAATTTTCCATGTTACTTTTGGCAGAATGAAACCCTGATAGCAATTAAAGCTCCACATGGAACAACATTGGAAGTACCTGATCCTGTTGAAGTAAGCAGATGGCTAGAGAATTCTAATGAGTTAGTACCATTTTCTACTTTCATGTTTTGAACGCATAATTGCAATGCTCCTCTATAATCCAGGCCGTTGACTACCCACAAAGGAGATACAGGATAATCCTTAGAAGCACAATGGGTCCCGTTGATGTTTACCTAGTCAGGTATTGCTCCCTTTTTTTGTATGCTAAACTATTTACTCATACATATTTATGAACCATCTTTCTTTCAAAATTATATCTAATTGATGATGGACAACAAAGGTTCTTCTTTTAATATCCCTCTTGTTTGTCTTTCTTTTCAAATTGTTATTTCCTCAGTCAATTTGAGAAGTTTGAAGAGATGAATGGTGTTGAGCCACCTGCGAGCATCCCACTTGCTTCAAACTCTGGCTCTAATGAAAAACAAGTTGAGTTGGTCAATGTAGATGGCACAAGAAAGGAAATTGAACCACAGACACAACAAACTCATCAAATGGGTTCTGATATTAATGCTTCACAGGAGTCTGTTGGGGGAATGATGAGAATTGTTCCTTCGGATATTGACGTAAGTGCCATCTTTCTTGACAATTTATTACTGTAGCCAAGCTTAATGGAGAATGGATATATGAACAGTAAGGGTATTTATAAATTTTGGTAGTGTGGAATTAATAATTCATTTGGAGCCTTGGTTGTTACCTTTCTTTATGAGGGTAAGGCCGAAGATTCAAATTCCATTTTCCCCCTAGGAATTCATCATGCACCAAAATTGAAAAATTGACACTCTGGTCCTTTGTTTTATGGTTGAATGTGTAAATTGACTATTAATTTTCTTACCTTGTTTTCAGAATAATGCAGATTATTGGCTTCTATCAGATGCTGATGTTAGCATTACGGATATGTGGAAGACAGACTGTATCCTTCTAGAAATTAGCTCTTCAATCTGCTTGACCCCCAAAGGTGGGGAAAAGCACTTGCACAAACTCATTTTCTTTTCCTATCCAATATACATTCGTAGGTTCACAATAGGTGAATGTTTGTGTAATCCTTAACTCCAAGAATAGCAGGTGTTGAATGGAGTGGGGTAGATATGCTTCATGCTGACTTTGGAATGGCTAATATCAGTACCCCAAGGCCCCAAACTCCACCATCTAGGCTGACTGAAGTGCCATCTTCTGATTTTGACTCTACTCATAGGTAAAATCAATTTCCTGACCAAGTTCTTCTGATTTAAATGGATCACTGGATAAAATTTGTAGCTATTGCAAATTACTGCACGGTTGTGCAATTTTCCTAACCGGTGGTTTAGTTACACAAATAAAAAATTGTTGCCCATTGGAATTATGGATTAGATGGGTGTTAAAGATGGAATAAATGCAATGGACAATACTGGGACAAAAAACATGGTTGACACTGTCCATCAAATCTGATTATATGCCCATTAGTATCTCTTTGTTTATCTGAGTTGCTTCGTTAATCAGTTTTGAAATATCAAAGCAGCCATACTCAAATGTAGACGTGTAGAATTGGTGCATTTAGATGACAATCATTGATATAAAAGCAGCGATACCTGCTGAAAATTGATCTGTTTGTATGAAATCAATCAATTGTATACATTGATTGTAACCATTTATATATATATATATATATATATATATATATCATAATGATTATAGCAATGCAGTGATTTTTCCTACCGCATTACTTTCATCACTGTGTGGTTGAATGTTGAACATGGAGTTTTTCAAGTTTTCAAGCAACGCCACCACAATTAGATTACCAAAGGACCTGATTGAGCTGAGCTAGTTACATTTTTATTTTGCACCCAAAATGTTTTTGTAGTGGCAGAAATTTGGGTATGTTCATTCATGGTTGAGAAATCATTTTCATTTTCAAAATGCGGACCGACTCTTGATGTATGTAATCATAAAATGACCATGTTGAAGAAAATGTTACGACAAATTAATGTTTGTCTTACTTCCATGATTGGATCCAAAACAACTTCTTTCCTTCCTCTTCGGAGTACTTGGCCCAATTTTCCTATTCCTTTCGGATGCATTGGAAAATGAAAATTGTTAAAATAATAGTTCAAAATACGAGAAATTATATTTTTATTTCTATATACTATTATATTAATGTCATGATTTCGTCTTTTTCATTTTCCAATTCATACTCTTAAAAAAAATGGATATGACACTTGAGACATCTGTCAGAGGATATTCCAGAAGTTGCCATTTGGTGCACAACTCAGCTCCATGTAACCATCACTTTCTCCACAATTAGATTTCCAGAAATCATGGCCCTTTATTTTTCCCCAAACTCTCTTTTGTAAGTATTTCCATTCCCCACAATACGTTTTTGTTGTTGGTTCACTAGCCATTTGTCAAGAAAAATTAATTGGCTGCTTTTTTTTTAGGAGAAAGTATACCAATTGTTACTACTTTTAATCAAATTTTACATAAAATATCATAAAATGCATCTGAAATATAGTTGTACGTTTTATGTTCATAATTTGCAAAATTCAGTCTTCTTTTTTTATAAATATATAAATGATGAATTTGGATGTTCAATTGAAGTGAAACAAGGAAAGAAAATAAAACAACAATGATTTGATACAATTAATGTTGAAATGACAGTAGTTAGTGGTCTAGTTGGCAGCTAGCAAACTTTTCAAAATTTAGGTTACTTTGGAAAAGTACATGGAAAGTTGGAAGTACGACCCATGATGTCAGAAAAGCAAACCAAAACAAAACAAATAAAAAAGAAAACATACAAACGCTCTAGGCCGCTCGAATTGATTGGCCGATTACCAAAAAGATAAGTTTTGAAAGAAAAAAAGTGATGTTTTAGCATAAAAACAAGATGCCTTAAGCTTTCTCTTTTGTCTCTCTTTTTTTTTTTCTCTTTTTCAAGAATCCAATCCATAACTCGGAAAGGGATAGCGGTTTCCACTCCCTCTCTTTCTACGTGGTTCCCTCTCTTTTACCTTTTTTTTTTCTTCAATACGCTCTAATTTAACTTTAATTGGAAAATTTTGGCAGCTTGCCACCTTATAAAAATAAAAATTTATAACAGTAGATGTCAATATTATTATATAATAATACAGTGTCAGTTCATACATTGTCAATTTTCATGATAAACAATTCAAATATTAAAATAATTAAAATTTAATTTGTGACAAATTTAAATATAAAAAATAATTAATCAAACTCTAATAAAATTAATCACCGACTTGCTAATTATGAGATCTCAGACTTTATATTAAAATTATTATTATTACGTGGGCATATGAAACTGTAGATAATCTACTGATGATGAATATGTACGTACGTCATTCACTTTTACGGTGCTACGATATATCCGGGAAGCTTACAACTTGACTCATCAGATTTAAAAGTGGCAATGCTATGTACGTACCTCATTGACTTTCAAATTTTCCTGCCTTTTTTCACCATGGACGACGAACCAGAGCAACCGCCGCTTTCAACTCGCCGCCGACGCAACTCCATATCAAACCCCGTCCAACTCCCTGCAAAGCTAACTCTCCAAACAGCCACCAGCCTCGCATATGGAGACGCCTCCTCACTGCCGCTTGACCTCGAGCTGATCTCCCTCAAAACCTCCTTAGCTTCCTATACTTCACTCAAAGACATCATCTCTTCTTCCGCCGTTGCTATCAACTCCCCAACCACTGCTGGATCTGCTGCCAATTCCGGGTACGAAATCTCCATCCGTAACCGTTTAGTAAAACAGGCGGCTTGGGCTTATCTTCAGCCCATGTCAGCTTCCCCTGACTCCTCTGGTCCTCAATTTTTCCGTCGGCTTTGGCTTCGGTTCTCTTCTCAAAACCCCATCTCTTCTTGCCTTCGGTTCTTCCACCACATACTCCTGCCTGGTCTGACCCGAGTCGTTGATCGGATCCTCCGATCCATTGGAATCCACTTTACCAGATAACAGATAAAGGGTGCGTTTCACACGTAGCGCGAAGGATAAAATATACGAAAAGATTGTTAACTGTACGGATATTTATATGGAAACCTAATTTTTATTACGAAGAAAAAAATGAATGAATTGAATTTCAGACTTATTATTCAAGAAACAATTATGGGTTTCTTTTCTTTTTTCTTTGGTTTGCGATTTTGGGGTTTCTGTACAATTTTTGTTCGTTTGTTACAAATTGTTAATTGTGTAGTTTGGTACGGCGGAGCTTGAGACGAGCCTGTTGGAGCTTGGAGTCACTTGGGGACTCTGGCACGGAAGTGTCATCGCTTTGGTCGTACTCGTATTCTGATTGGTTGTCAAGTTGGAAGTGGGCATGTTTAGACTTGGGTGATTCTACGACGGAGCGGTTGATTGTCATTGAAGTCAAACTCTTGCTCTTCCCTGATTGACTACGGAGTCCATTTGGAGGTGGTACTTGAATGTCTGGATTTTGCTGATCAGATTTCTGCAAAAGGTTTGGTGAAATAACATTGGAGAATTAGAAATTTTAGTGCTAATTGTTTCAAGTTATGCTCATTGATCTTGTACATGAAAATGAAAGTATTAAGCCAATAATTGATGAACCAGAGTTTGATAAACATTTTTCGTGTGGTGTGTTGATTCTGCTTGTCTGCTACTGAGAAATGCTGGTTTGTTTCTTCTTTTCGAGTTAGTATCAAACAAAGGGTAGAAATTAGAATAACATGGAAGGAAGATTACCTGATTGCCATGTTTTAACCTTGAAGATTGGACTGCCAAATATTGAAGTATTTCGAAGAATTTTGTCCTTCCCAATTCTGTGCAGTTTTGCCAGTAGTACAAAGCAAAGTCCCATGCTCTAGCTTTCAACTCCTGTATCTTTCTATCCACTTCGGTTTCATGTCTTACCATGAAAGGCCGCAACAAGGTGTCGTATACATAAGCAGTTCCCTACATCATCAAAAGCTTATTATTGTCAATTGATCAGCTGAAAATTTGCAGAAAAAATAAATTGTACGTTTTGCTTTTACCTTGGTTTTAGGATACCATAGGTAGATTAAGAGCGTAATCTTCAGCTCGCCATACATGGGCAACCTTCAGGACAGTTAAAATCTAATATTATTATTCTAAGCAATCAGATTGAACTATGAAAGTTCAGAGAGCTCTCTATACCATGAAATGAATATGTCCCCTATCCTCTCAAAAACTGTCAGAAACGCCAAAAGTATCCTGCAAAATTCATTGCCACCACAACTTTTAACTTATTACAAAGCTAAAGAAACCAAGCACAGGCCACAATGGAAGATTGGTTGAAGTGTGTTTTTTTATGGTAATAACAGAATGGATAAAAACAAGTTACCCATGTCCCTATTCAATGTGGTGGTGATCGATAGGTTAAGTTGTTCTAACTATCAACTTATCCATAAATCAAAGAAATGGCATTCAGGCATTATCCATCCGACCAGTTAGAATATTGCTTTCTCATTCATATATTCTTCTTGATAAAAATTCTCAGGTGTCTATCCTCCTCAAGATCATATGCATGGCTTTTGACCTAATGGTTGTTATCTTGGAACACAAACATGGGATCAATCTAGGACAGCAACAAGAAGCTGTTGCCCTCTCTCCTCGTTTTATAGTTGAAGAAAAACCGAATTATGACATTGGACTAATTCAAACATAAGTACCATGTAACCAATTTCACCTCAAATGGTATTGATCCTAACAAATTAAGGAGCCTAACTAGGTTTTACATGTTCTAACGAAGAAGCAAATCAAAGGCTTATTAACAAGTAACTTGGAGTGTATTTTATTGAGAAAGGTTGAAAATTTCAAGCCTAGCATGATCAAACAAGAAGAAAGAAACCAAAAAAAAAAAAAAAGAAGACTTCCATGGGATTGAATTGCCCAGAATGGAAAAGGTCTAGTCTAGAAAAGAAAATGCAAGAAAAGGTGGAAGGCCAAGACTTTGATACCAATATTGACACCAAAATCTGAGTTCCTCAATCTCGACCCTGTTCTTCTCCACCGTTTTAAAGCACTCAAACGCTGGATATGCATATCCAAGAATCAACCTGAAAACACAAAATCACCAGAAAACAGATCATAATATAAAAATCCATAAACCAAAGTAACCATTCTTTTATTATTTATAATTTAACAAGCGAAGAACATTAAATACAATGCCAATGATGCATAAAACAACATGAAGAACCAAAAAAGAAAGCATTGGTAAATGACTTACACGAACAATCTGGTAAGGAAGTCACCCAACATTTTTTAAAAATTTTATTTCCTATTTATCCAATCTCCCGCGCTAATTTTCCTGGGGACAAATTAAAAGTATTCCATAAGAAAAGGAGAATCAAAATTCTCTTCATTAAATCATTCATTCATTGAACTCTGCAAAACCAAAAACAAAAACAAAGAAAAAAAAAAAGAACAACCCAAATTTCCAAACCTGTTTACAAAACAAAAAAAGATGAAACGCCAATGAATTGATGAAGCGCCCCTGATCTATGGCAAGAAAAATGGAAACTTCAAAGAACCAAAAACCCTCCCAAAAAAAAAAAAAAGAAAGAAGCAAGAAATGAATAAAAAAACAGAAACATAAACAAAACCAAAACAGAAATCTAGGAAAGACAAGTTCGTTAATATACTTTAGAACAAAAGTTGGGGGTTAAAAAGTTAAAACCTCTGAAACAAAACAAAGGATCCCTTTGATTCTTCGAGAAAAATATGTTGCGCGAGAGACAGATAAAGAAAGAAAAAGACTTTGGTTTTTGGGGATCAGAAGCTTGATGAAGGATTGGATTAAAAGAGAGAAATGAAAGCAGAGGAGGGGAGGGAAGGGTGATTCTTTGTTCTGTTCGTTATTTTACACGCGATTCAGTGTGGGGGATTTTTTTTGGGAATTCCTCCAACGGGTTTACCGTTTGGCAGTTATTATAGTTTTCTGTTTCCGGGTCATTTCATAAATTCATAAAAAATTTTGGTTTTAGGGGAAAGAGCAGAGTTGCACTTTTGTTAAGAATTGGATTACTTTTAGCATCAACTTTTTTTTTTTTGATGGTTGAGAGGCCTTCTAGATAATTTATTATTTATTTTTTTAAAAGGGTAGATAAAAAATTATTTTTTGATTAAGGACGATATTAAAATTATTCTTTTAAGGGGATTAAATGGCTGTGGGGAATTATTTTTTATTTTTTAATCATATGTTCTTTAAATTTTTAATCGCTCTCTTTGTTTATATATATATATATAATTTTTCTTTAACAATGTATATTTTTTAAAAATTGACGAAATAAATCGGAAGGAAATAAAGTGTCAATTTTTAAAATTTAAGAAACAAATTTATTTGGCCTCTACTTGCATGATGATTTTTTTAGAATTATTTCTTTTAAAAAATTATACTAACATTTTAAATATCATCGCTAAAAATAACAATAACAACAAAATATTGAACTTGAAATATATAGTTCTTTAGTGTATGAAACATAATAGGAGAGAGAGGATTTTGTGGCTCATAATATTGTAATTTATATTGTAATTTTATCAAGAACTTATTTGGCAAGTACAAAAAATTAGTAAATATTGTAAATAAGTATAAAATTATAACTTTTTTTTTCTCATATACATGATTTTTTTTTCATTTTTTGTTTGTTTGGTAATAAGAAAATTCTTAATATTACATAAATTAATTAAATTAAATTCTAAATACATTTTTTATTGATACAGAATGAAATAAAATTGGGGGAAAAATAAGTGGGATTATTTATGGCATATATTTAATTTATTTTTTTGGCAGGGATGTGTATCCAAAATTCATCCTTCAATGTATTTGTTAGCTGTTGGGTTGTTGAGTTCTGAGTTGGACCAGTGTTTGATTTTTCTGGAAGTTGGGTTAGCCTAGCCCCAGATAGAAGTTTGGGGAAGGTCTAATGACTTCGGCAGTGGCCATATCTACAGTGGATGGGCTTCGGCCTTCGTAATTGGGTACCATCTCAACTTGACAAGTCATGAAATTCAAAGTTGATGCACCTTTTGGTTGTTTCATGTAAGCGTTATAATCCTATCCAATGTAAGAAGAGGCGTCCAAAAAACTCCACGAGGGTTTGAACACAAGTAATAATTAGAGAAGAGTGTCCTTTTGGAAGTGGTTAACCACATCCACTTCCATGGGCCTTTTTTTTTTTTTTTTTCCAGAAATGGAGGCCTTCTACATTTCCCAACACAGTAATCCCTAGGTGTTATTAAAGTTCTCACTTAAACGCAGCCCTACATTTCCGAATTCTCAAAATGGTTGGCTTTGATTACAAATAGCTAGAGAACATGAGTACTCGAGATGTAGTTTGCAATGACAATGATGGTTGCTTCGACATCTTCTCTCGGTTGTCTGATCAATAACAGGACTTAATTAATTAATGTGATTTGCTTTCAAGTGTTTGTCGACTCCAAAAAAAAAAACAAAACTCTTGAATTTATTACTACTTGTTAAATTAAAATCTTTTAAATGGTGAAAATCTTATTAATTTATAGGTGAAGGTTGAAACTTTAAATGAATGTAACAGTTGGTGATATTCTTTGTTGAAAATGAACAGCCCTTTTAAATTGTGAGTTGTTTTTTTCATCATCAAGCAAATGTCAGGGATGACCTTGAAGGCAATGGAAAGAAGAGTTTGGTGTAAACTGTAAAAAATGCATTCAATGGTAACAACTAACACCCGACGATGGGAAAGAAAAAATGACAGAAACAAGGGCATCATCAGCATGCAAAGTTTTTAGCAGGGTTTTGATTATTCACAAAACTCAAGAACAAGTTGTTGAACCAAGTTTTTATTTGGATCAATTTTCTAAGAACTAAAACCAGCAAGTACTACTTCTTTTCACTGATTTTTTTTTCTGGCTTTCATTTGCCATAAATGTATTGGTTTTGTTTAATATTTTTCCCCATCTACTATCTGCTACACTGCTATTTTTGTTATGAATTATGATCCCATTCCAGAAAAATTTATAGGTTGAACTAGGTTGTACAAATGGTAGATTTTAAGTAAAAGCCTAAAGCTTGTAGAGAATAAAATTTTTCTTACTGATTTTTGCACAGGTAGCTTCGAGTTAAATGATATTATATGATAACATAATATTATCAAATTATATAGTCGAATGTAATATTAAATATTATGATATTATAAATTAAAATAATATTTGATATTATAATATGAATAAAATATCGTATCAACATATAATTATGTAATATTAAATTATTTTTAATATAATTTTTGCTAACATTGAGCTCAAAGAGAAAAAAAAGTCGAAACAAATTATATATATACACGTGTTATTATTAATATTTATTGAAAAATAGTAGTAGTTGCAAAATTTTATTCTGCATAATTAATTTGTTCAATTACTTTTTTTTTCGTCCTTTTCTCTTAACTGTACAAGATTATTATTGTTATCATAATGAAAATTTAAATAGTTAATGATGTATTAAAACTGAAAAGTGATTAATTATTCTTTTAGTTCAATTATGACATAATAAAAAGAGATGAATCAAAATAATCAACTTCCAAAAATTGAAAATTCGATATTTAATTCAATTTATTTATATAATTATTTTTAATAGATGACAGTCAATAAATTTATAAATTTTTTTTTTATTCTCAAATTGTAATTTTTTATGTAAAAAAATTACAACAATTACTTATACTAATATAAGTATTTATACTCAATTTTTTACTTTTAAATAAAAATAATAAGTGTTATGGATTTATTTTTAATTCAAAGGTTAAAAATATATAGAACTTTTACATTAATATAAATAGATTCATATATATATATATGTATATATATACACATATATATGCAAGATTTTCAAAAAAAAAAATTAAACTAATATTTTGTCTTTTCATAAAAAAATTGTTAACTATAACACAGAAAATATCTACGTAGGATTTATAATGTTATCCATGCTTTTGCTAACTGTTAAGCATCCAAAGCCTTGCAAAAAACCAAGAGCAACAATAAGGCATTTAATGAATTGGGACGACGCCAACCTCCATACTATTTGATCGTATTTTCCGTGAAAATCGATTTTTCTTTCTTGGAAAATGAGGTATGCCATTAATATTTCATTATCACACTATTTACCACCAAGCTTTTGCAAAGTAAAATGCCTGCAGAGCTAGCAAATGGTCATAGGGTTTAGTTTGTTTGTCTCATGCAGAAAGAAATTATGTGCCGTAGCTCTCTTCATTTTTTGCACACACATTCAGATTTTTTTACTCGTGCCATCACCGTCCATCTATGAACGCATGGTTAGTTTGATCATATTTGTTTGACAAACTGTTAGATGTATCATGATTAATACTAATCAATGTGTATATTTGGTATGAATTATAAAATTTATTTATATTTTTTGGTCTGGAATCCATCGATGCCTGATAATCACTTTAGGTTTTAACTAATCTGGAGTTGAATTATGTTAATTTCATAAAAGGATAAACTCTCTCAAATCTATTTTTTTCATTCACAAAATTAAAATCGAGATTTTATTTTAAAAGAATTAAGCTTTTTACTACTCGAATCAACAGGCATTGATAAAATTTCTTTGTATTGATGCTATATACTTTGATTTCATATCTTAAAATTTTAATATTAAATGTTATGATCCATCTAAAACCCAAACAAAATATTAAATTAGTAAAAAAAATCTTATTTTAGAAATTACAAATTTTTAAAAGCATTTTCAAAAATTACATAAATATCTCAAAAACATTTATTTATTTTTTAAAAAGATACCATAAAAACTGTAAAATTTTTTTATATTTGTAGATACTAATATTTAAATTTTAATAATTAAAATTAAAAATTTAATATCCATCCTATCAATAGACTAAAAAAAAAACCATAATATTTTCAACATCTATGTAGATGAAAATATCTTCTTAAATATAACAATCTTAATTAATTAACAAGTGCTTTTAAGTAATGTAACAGTTTATAGATAACCAGCATCTCTCTTGATTCTTGAAGTACGAGCTTCTCTCTGGATTTTGCAACTCCAAAAGGACCAAAACTTTGATTTTCATATTCCGAGAGAAGAAAACATGGCAAGAAATTTTGGGCCCTTTGCCTTAAATTTTCATTTTTAAAGTTAGAAAGGAACATAACTACTTTTTCTTCTAGTGCTTTTCATTTCACTGTCTCCCCAAAAAAGGTCAAATTTGTAAATACATTAATGTTTGTAATCTCACCCCGATAGCATTAATTAATCATTAGTTTCCTCTATTAAGGGTGAGGATTAAATTTAATAATAAATAAAAAAGGAGAATGGCACACGATTTAGAAACTTCGACAAATCGATCCGCACTGAGAAGAATCGTGGGCTTCCAAAATGCAGCATTGACGATTGGCTCAATTTGACTTTGTTTTATACAAACATTAAAATTATTTATGTCTGCCATTTAATTATCACTCCAAATCTCCAATGATGGATACAACTAACAAGCTTTTACCGTGATACTATGAAATTTTAATTGGCCGCTCGGTTAGGGTTATTAATACGTATTTCTGCAAAGGTTTAATGGATGACTTTGTAGATTTTCAAAAAGTTTGGATAAATTGCCAAAAGACCACATCAAAGATTTGATTTTCACTCTTGCCTACATTTAAAAGTTTAAGGGTTCCGATAGTGAATGTTAGGTTCCATTTGTTTCATATATATATTGATTTTTAAAAATTTATTTTATTTTTTTATATTTGTTTGATAAAAAAATAATTTATTAATCAATAAAAAAATAAAATCATTTTCTACGACTTCTCTTTTCATTTTGAAAAAGAAAATTATTTACGTCTTAGATTATTTATCAAATTCGTGAGTACAATTTTATTCAAACTTTAAATATAATTTTCCAAGCTTGGGTTTAATTTGACCGCACTTCAAATATTACAATATATATTAATAAAAATATTTTATTTACTTTTAATTAAAACTGTTTAAAATATTAAAAATCTTGTAATATTTTAATTTTTTATATTATTAAACATAAATATTTTTAATATTTAAATAACAAATTGTATTATTATATTATTATTATTTGAGTATTAAACAATTAATATTAATATAGTAAATAATATTTTTATTTTTTAATAATTAATATTATTTAATATAGTAATATTATTATTGTAATCATTTAATAATTTTTTAAATTTAAAATATATTATTTTCATATTTTATTGACAAATGACAAATCGTTACTGTTCTCTTTATTTGTTTTATTTAAAATTTTTCAGAACACCCTTTTCTTTCATATTTTTAAGTATAAAAAAAAAAAAGATCCAGTTAAAAGGTATACCATTTATTATTTAAGGAAGGAATAGTGAATCATATATCACTTTCGAGTTTCGACTATAAAATTAAGGGAACAAACGACCAAATATCGGGTTAATTTGACAATACAAATACAAGGGTCCCTTACTCTTTAGGCTTCACCATTCGTTTTTTCCCTCATGCAACCGACATTTAAACAATACGTGCATTTCTTGTTTTTTCTCCTAGCATTTAGTCTAATTGAAAGACAAAGCAAGAAAATGAAAAGCATAGCATTATTAGGCAATGCCCCACACTTTTACTATTTGCTTTATCGCCAAATCTTTTTGTAAATCATTAGAAATTAAGCTGAGTAAAAGGAAAAAAAATTTTCGTTCAAAAATTTGAAGCTGAGAGATTTATATTTTTTATTTAAAAAATTTATCAAGTCAAATTTGAAGCTTTTTAATTTATTGGATTTTTAAAAATATATAAAAATATTATCAAATTCATTCAAAAAATTTCAAGCATTTTTTAACATTTTTTCAAACTTCATTTATATTTTATTTTGAAAAATAACAACCATTTAACTCAAATTTGAAATTTATGCTTAATTGGATTGTCTAGAAATTGTATATGAATATGGTATTTAATTTAATTGATTTTTTAAATTATTTTTTAAAAAATAATATTTAACATATTTAAATTTTAAAATTTAATACTTATAATTTTAATATTTTCTTTTAAATATATATTTGAAAATTTAATATTTTCGAATTTGTTGCGGCGGTTAAAAAGATAATATTGGTGCACGTGCCGAGGATACGAACGTAGGACCATGACAAAGTCCTGGCCGGAATTGGACCTTTCAGATGACAACGACTATCCAATTTCAAATCGACGGCTGTGATCTCTCTCCATCACATTCAGGTGAAATAAATCCAACGGTCAATATTTCTCAATCATAGGACCAATTTTTGTACGTTCGTGATTTGTTTTGCATGATACCTAGTTATCACCAACCTATATATATATTTCCGGGACAATTTTAGGTAGGAAATTGTTAATTCTTCAAAAAAAAAAAAAAAGATAGGAAATTGTTAAAAGTCAAATGGAAAACTTATAGGTATAAATTAAGTATCCGATCAAATTAGTTAAAATTTTATTTTAATAAAAATATTAAAAAGTGTATAGTAACATTAGTTAAGATGAATATTTTTAAAAATAAATTTCTAATATAAACACAATTTTTTATTTTTTAAAATTACAAGTACAAAAAAACTTACAATCATAATCAAATATATTATTAAATTTAAAAATATTATTTTTAAATGAATCATAAATTTAATTTTGATTAAATGATTTTAAAAAATTTAAAAATTATTATAATATAATTAGATCCCTATTCTATATATATCATGATTAACATTTACAATATATTAGTTCAATTATTATCTAAAGCATTTCATAAAAAATTATCCACATGGAAATCAGGAGCAGAATACCGTTGAAGCAAGCTTTGAGAAGTTTTAGTTTAAAATCAAATCAATTATGCTAACTTTATATAATATGTAAAATTAATTTGTCTAATGTGTGAAGATTCAAAAGGAATTAAATAATTGTCTCATGTAAATAAGACAATAATAATTAATATTTTCTTTTCGGTTTTCATTCTTAAAAAAAAAAATAAAACAAAAGATTTTCAAAAAATAGAAAAAGCAAGCTTGGAAAATGCATGGAAATTTCCCTGTACTCTTAAAGTTCTATTTCCATTAATTGCAGAAGAGATTGGAGTGGAGTCCTGTTTGCCAACACAGAAAGAAAGGGAAAAAGAATGAAACAAAAAATTAATTAGAAAGAAAGTTCACTATCATTTCTGAAAATTAGTGGTATAAACACACACATAACACAAAAAAAAAATCAAACATCTAATAAAGCTGAAGAAGGATCATCTTTATTATCTTCAATGATCTCCTTCTGATATGCTTGTGATAAAGAAGATAAACAATGGCTATTATCAATCACTTCATCAGCTCCTAATGAGGATAAGCAAGGAGTAGTTGTTGAAGAATCCGCTGAGGAAGAAGATGAAGAAGCGTAAAATGATAAAGGAGAAGAAGGAGAATGAGTGCAATTAGAACAAGAAGGAAGAGTACAGGTTGAGGAAATGGCGAGTCCTACAAGCAAATCAACAAACGCACCAACGATGTACCCATGATTGCCTTTTCCATTTGCTATCAAATACCAAAACAAAAGTTCTTCAAGACCTTCCCAATCTTTTAACCGGTGAGCTTCCACCATTTCTTCCATGGACTTCCTGAAATCAACATGCGGATCTTCTGACTCCATTGACAAGATTACACTATCTTTAAAAGGTAATCCATCACTCGGCTTTGCCTCTTTCAGGATTGAACTAGTCTCTCCAGGCTCGAAAAACAGCCTTTCTGACCTTAAACCTCGAATGACAGTCTCTACAGGATCACCCCCAGACTCGTCAGATGCTGTTGAGAAGCTGGCTGATTCCGAAGAGTTGGAGAACCAAGGATCGGGTGTTTCAGCTTCGATGATGGCGTCTAAGTAAGTTGAGTTGATGGTCTTGATCAGGCTGTCATCGGTTCTGAAAGAGCGAGTTCTGGGCTGGTGACAGGAAGGCCATAGCCATGAGGATTTTGCTTGTACGCTGTTGTTCTTGGAGTTGGAGAGAAAAGGGGGCTTCATCTTCTTCCCCATGTGCCCTGCCCCTTCGTTGTTGCTTTGGTTTAGTGTTGTAGGAGATTTAGGATAAATACAAAAGATGGGGGCCGGGGTTTGTTCAAATGATTAAATTTTTGGACCGTGAAACTGCAATATTATGTGAATTCTTTTATGTGGGCATTAATGGGTCAGTCAGACTGAGAGAGCTGTGGATTGTGGGGATCAAAGATTTTAAAGGAGTGGTAAATCGAGTTGGGGAAGTTGATAGATAGAAAGGAGATTGGTGGCATGGCTGCTCTTTCTTTCTTATATATGTCTATTAATTATATCAACTACAAAATTTATTACTGTTTCAGTTGAACTCATTTATTACATTATAGTACTTCTTCTAGTAATATTTAATTAATTTGGATTGCTTCAAAGACACTTCATGGGGCAATTTGCATAAACCTAGCTAAATTAATTAACATATATTATCTTAATTTGGGATATAATGAGCCATTAAAACCCCCCCCTATGTCTTTAAAAGTTGTGAAACCCCCTTAAATTAAGTGGATGATAAATCCAAACTAAACCTACATTTATTAAACCTAATGCATGCATGAGAAAATCTAGCTGTCCTTCTCATAAAAGTTAATACAAATCAGCTGAATTATTAAAGATAAGTGCAAAAGACAAAAGATTAAGATGAGGGGACATAAATTTCATTGAAAATTTGGAGGGTTGGGAGCTTCAATGCACTGTGGACTGCTCTTATTGCTCTTTAAATTAAATCAGTGTATTTTTATTTAGTAGTTTGAAAATGAAATAGATATATTTAAGAAAGTTACATGCACTTTGGGGAAGAAAACTGTACTTGGAGGGAAAGAAAGAAAAGTTCAGAAGCCAAGTTGAAACAGTAAGAAACAAAAATAATAAAAATATATGGTGGCATATGGGGATGAAAATCTTTTGTATGCGAAAGTAACTCTCTATCACGTGCTTTCCTTCTGCTTTCCAGACAAGAGATTGGGACCTGAGAGAGACTGTTTTATTTGTTTCATCTTCCATTTGATGGAAATATTGGTCGATTATATGTTCCTTATACAATGAAAAGCACAAGGGAAACCAACTCAATTCCAGCTTGAAATTAATTAAGATCTGTTGCCACTTATTACCCTCTCAATGTTTTAGCTCTTCTCCCTCCGAACTTTATGCAAACCCACCCCCCCTCCCATCTGATCTCTCGACCCACAATTATGTTTTTGCAATTATTCTTCAACGTAAATGTGAGTGATATAAGAGGTTCATGAAATTTGTTTATATATCTTTTTTCTGTATCGAGTCAAACAAATTTATTTATCTTGAACTTAATAAATTTATAAAAAATTATTTTTACAAAATCTCTTAACAAATTCAAATTTAAATAACAAAAAAAATTCGCACTCTATTTACTATTTGAATCTGCCATTCATTAGTAAATGATAAGAAATTTATATATATATATATATATATATATATATTTACACACAAATTAGTACATAATATTAAGTTTTAGTATTCTTAATGATCTTTGTACTTCCTGTCCCATGCTCATGCTTCATATGTTAAAACTTGATCAACGATAAAGTTATTAAGATAGACAAAATGAGGTTTATGAGTTGAGAGACTACTTCTCTCATTTTTAAACTAAAAAATTCTTATATATCAACAATATCTATGACTTAATTTGTACTTAATTATATATGCATCTTTAGGTATTTGTAATTAAGCTAAAAATCAATAATAATCATCAATTATTTTAACTATTTGTTTTAAAATATATAGTTCTATAATTACCAATCAACTATATACAAATCAAAATTTCAAACATATATATATATACCCTCATTCCTCTTGCTATATATATATATATATATATATTAATAAGCTGCTAAGCAATAAGACAAATGTATGGGTGTGGATAACATGGTATTAAATTAATGCACAATGTTGTATATTTATATATGCATAATTAATAAAGGGGACCATCTTTTATTTTAATCCTATTGGTGGTCCATTTCCCAAACTTATCTACACAAAATCTGAAGTTCAAATAGTGATGTTTCTTTTTTTTTTTTCACCATTAGTTGAACTGATCAGAACTTGTTGGTGGAAGGCCATGATGCATGGAGGAGGAAGCCAACAGGGTACAAACTATACATAAAGGGATGGGACCATGCATCTCACGGAAATCTTGTGGCACTTGTATTTAACCATGCAGTTTTTGTTGCTTCTGCTGTCAATGGTAATCCTGCTTATTTTAAATCTGCTTTTTGGAACCAATTGCATCACCAAGTGACATGATGAAGAGCAAGCATTATTTTCTAAACCCAAAGATTGTTTTGAACTAATTCTAAATAATACTATGTTATATAGGGAAATTCTGAGTATAAATACAATATCTGAAGAACAATAGAACAAGATTAACTAACAAAGTGGGAATAACAGCCTCAAAACCTGATAAATAGAACCAACCCCTTGCAAGAAGTAGCAATCAAAGCAACCACAAACTAGTTAAATCCATTTTCTTTTATTTTTTTAAAATTTTTTGGTCATTTCATATCAAACTAGTTATTAAAACTTAAAGCAGCCACAACTTGGCTAAGACCTAGAGGTCTAATATCAATAGACAAAAAAAAAAAAAAAAAGGCAATATACTCATAAGGCCTAACAAAAAGATAGTTTGTTGGCAACATGATATAATTGGTCCTTAAGATTTATGTAAAACGTGTCAAGTCTTTTTTTATTAGCGTCAATTGAGCCATTCGTCCATTTGCTTATTTTTTTATTAAAATATATAAATTTAATTGAAATTACTTATGTGCCACAACTTATGGTTACGTTCGAAGTAAAAAAATGACATGTATCAAGTGACATGACAGATGATATGTGACACGTGAGTCCAGCTGTTTCTTTCCATTTTTCCATTTTTTTTTTAAGTTTTGCACTTTTGCATTTGCTCTTCCCAAAACGACACAGTTTAACGTTTATAGGATATTGGAATAATCCAACATAAGATAAGATGATCGTTTTCAAAGAGAACGATGGGCAATGATATCCCTTGTTGTTATATTTTATAGGGGAACGCAGCTAAATCCAAAATTTCTAATGGAAACAATGATAACAAAAACATTAATAAAAAAAAAAGAAAAATTATTAAAAAAATTTAAAATTTAACATTAACTTCCCTTTTAAAAAGAAAAAAAAAAACATTAATACAACTAGAAGGAACAAAATTCCATTTTCTGAACTTTTTATATTACATAAAAAAATGGGGGAGTATCCTCATTATAGGATTCTTTGTAGGGGAAACTATATGCAAACAAGAGGCTTAGTAGTTTTCAATGTATTAGTTACCCTATTTTTGGATAAATAAAAATTTAAATTATATAAAAAAAAAAAAGCAAGACAAACTTAGATGATTTTTTGGATAAATAAAAATTAAATTTTTATTAAAAAAGGAAGCAAGACAAACTTAGCGGACTCCAGATATATACGTCATAGATATTACCTACTAAACAACTTAGTCATTATCTAGTTAGATATAGCAGTACTGTTTCTTTTCATCTTGAAACAGACATGCAGAAGTAATTTTCTCCCTCTTTTGCTTTGCTTTCTTTGATCATTTTGTCGAGTACAGAAAATGTCGATGAACCATTACATTTTTTTTTATGAGATACAAATATACGGGCGTGCCTAAGTTGGCCTGATCCAGTGGACATGCTCCTGCTGAATCCATCACCATATCATTCTCATCAATCTGCTTAATCTAATCTTTGGCCGAAAAGGGTATGTATATCTCAATCCTTCTGCCTAATCAAGAATATAGAATATCACATAAACTGTTAGGATCAATTCGTCCCATGAGTTCCCTTTTTTTGCTGATAGATTCCTTCATTTTTGCCAGTAGCCAAAGTTATACACCAAGATCAAAGGCAAGAATCAATGGCTTTAAATAGATTCTTACCACAGGCCCCATTTCCACCATGACTACAGAAACTTTGGACTGTATCTATGTAACCATCTTATGACACACAGATTGCAAAATAGTTGACATGCAATGAAAAGATTCTAATCCAACACTCAGTTCTGACCGTTCCTTGTTCATTGAGACATAATTAGACAAAAATAAAAAAGATGTTTCTATAACCATGTTGTACAAATTAGCCAGTTAATTAGAGATACCTAATCAAAACTTTATGGCCCAATACTAACCAAATATCTATTCCAAACTTGTAAATTATGTACCAGGATTCAAAGGAGCAGACCAAACACAAGATTATCAGAATCAAAGACATGCTGCAACTTCTATCCAAAGGCTCAAATGGGAATCAAGTGAAACAAAAAATTGCAAGTAAATCTTGGAGCTACTTGTCCTATCTTTCAATAATGAATTGGCACAAAAGGCATGCATAAACTAACATTTTAATGCATCACTCCACTCACCAGACAAACACACACACCTACCCACCTACCCACCCACCCAGCCATCCACCCACACACGTGTATATATATATATATATATATATATAGGCAAAAATATATGCACACACAGTTATTCTAAAAGAAAGATATAAATATTAGGAACCAGAATAAATGCAGTAACAGGATATCTGTTCAAATCATACAAAACCAGCAAGACAGAACCACAAACCTAGAAAACTGTAACGGTGAGCCTGAAGGGACAATCATGCACAAATCAACAGACATATTCAGCTCAACCTAAGGGATAGTAGTATCATCATGTTTGTCCCCTGGGTAACTATAAATATCAACGCATATATATACCCTGCTCATGAATCAACCCCTAACCAATTCAGACACCCACCACCAAAGAAAAAATAAAAATAAAGAGAAGCAAACTTTAATTGAACAAGACAGGAGAAAACATTCGTACATTTCTGAACAGGACATGCATAACAATTAGATAAAAGCAAACAATTCACAGATCAATGATTGAAATGTGGATGAATTTTCCTTGTGTATGTACTTTGTACAGCAAACTCACCAATTTAGGCCCAGGTTTATAGCTGTCTCTCCTTTCTTTTTCCTTCTTTTAAATCAATTCACAGTCTTTAGCTGTAGGCAAGAAAGTGATATTGCAAGTGCATATGTTCTTTTAGAGATCTTAGCTAACTAAAAGTAACACATAACACAAGACTGTCCCTAAAAGTGCAAGCCTGAACATGAATGGCTTTATAGGAGTATGAAATCCTCTTACAAGATGCCTAAACAAGCAAAGAAAAAGAGTCTAAATTGGCTAAATTCTAACCCCAAAAATTTGCATCCTTAAACCAATAACTATCTTCTGGAAAACCTAGCCTCCTCCATTACTCAGACTGTAAATTGCACCTTTGATGTTGGACAGTTTCAGAATCATAACAATGACACCAGAAGTTTGCTGTTCTCTTCAGATTTGAACTAAAATCTTTTGACCCTTCCTAATATGTTCAAAAAGAAAAAGTGTGAATTACAGTTCAGTTTTTTCTAATCAACTCATCAGAAACCACTTTTAATCTCCCAAATTCCACATCAACCTTTCTCAGCAGTCTATGGGATTGATGAAAATGTGAAAGCTAAAATTTCAAGCCATTCTTATCAGAATTCCTCTTCCAAACACTCCAAAGTGCAAAGGATCATTTCAAACAACCTAATGAAAAAAATTCAACAATAGGAAATAAAACTCTCACGTTCACATTCATCCCAAGGAAGAAACTAAAAATATCGTTCAACCATGACAAAATGGTGTAATTCTGAAGAAATTTCCAAATTCCACCTTCATACAATACCTGATATGAACCCCAAATCCAGTGCAACTGAATTCCCACACGGTCCAACTTCACCTCCCAAACCGCCTAAGAGTCTAACAACATGCTTTCTATTGCCTCTTCTTACCATTAAAATAAACATCTAACCAAAATATAAAACAAGAATACAAATTTGCCAGATGTGAATGCGAAATTGAAAGAATTACACTGAACTAGTATTAATATTGATGATTGATCAATAACCCATAAAATGTGTACAAAAATCTAACTATCTAAAAACAATTGCGCAAAGAATCTACAAATGCAATGAGATTCTTTGAAACATGAAGATTGAAGACATCAACATAAGCTGATTAAAATTCATGAGGAGTCAACTTCTAAACCATAAAGAACATTAGCATACTTCTCAACATCCCCCTTCCCGAAATACCTTTTCTTGACCTCCAACCACGCGTCCAATGTCAGCAAGCTGTCGGAACCGGCCTGATGACTCTTACCAATAGCGCGCTTAACCCCCAGTGCTTTAGACGCACGATCCAGCCCTCCGTATAATCCAGCACAGAACCTCATCAAGTGTTTGACGTCATAGACTCTGTCTCCAAAGAACAAGCGCACGAGGTTCAAGAACTCAGAGAGTTGGTCCCGCAATAACTCGCCTGTCAAGCATTTCACGAGGTATCCGAAATCGTACGCGCAGTGGAAAGTTACCCACGTAACGGCGTCGTTCAAGACAAGTCCCGATGACATCATCAGTTCCGCGAACCGGACCGACTCGATCCCAAATTCCCGGTTCTTTTCAAAATCTATGCCTTGACGACGGAGAAGCTCGACGGAATCGTGAGCGTGGACATCATTCGCGATATCGAAGTCTTTGAAATTGAATTCCCAGATAAACTGGTTTTCGGTGCCAAGATCTGGTAAATTTCCGTCATCGTCCGATAAAGTGAGGCCGAGTTGAATCAGCTTGAGTAAATCGACGTTGGCTTTGAGGCTTTTATAATGCACCGTGGGGTCACCAGGCCGGATGTATTGGCCGCCGCTGGGGGAAGTTGGTCTGACGACAACGCCAGGGAACTCAGTGTCCATGGAAATGATCGGATAGCCGTCGATGATGGATCTGATTAATTCGAATTCGTACTCCAAATTATTGGACCAAACGGATCGGATGACGACAGACTCTCGTTTAGGAGGTGGTTTATCTGACATTTTCTTCGATCTTTATCAAGGAAATCCGTCGCAGTTTGGATCAAGACAACAAGATGTTCCTCTTCTTATCCTTTTCTTGGATATCAATTCTGATTTTTTTTTTCTTTAATTTAGGGTTTAGGGCTTCTTTCTTTGGGGAAAAACCGAAAGAAAAAGACGTGAGGGAAAAGGCATTCGTCCAGCGGCGGTTTATTATATTTAATTTTTTAGGTTTAAATTAAATGACTAATTAATTAATTAATTATAAACTGTGGAGAAAAGGAAAGGAGAGAGAGAGAGAGAGAGAGAGAGAAAATATTTAGCTTATACGGATGCAAACGATAGAGGGTGGATGGATGGGTGCTCAAGTTTGACTCGTGATTTCTACTCAAAGTCGGCACTAAACTTTGGCAGCCGCCCAGCCCAGCCCAGCCCAATGAACCAAACGTGGAAACCGTGTGCTTCCTCAACATAAATTGCACAATTTCCGCAGTACATTAAAACAAAAAAACAAAAAAGTTTCATTTTTTCATTTTTTTTAATTTGTTTTTAGTACGAGGAGAAAAGCGTAGAAAAGTGAATAAAGGATGTAATACTTTAAAGTGACGAATCCAAGGTGGGGAATGAAAGGAAAGGGTAAGAAAACAAATATGAAAAATTTTTGACGAATCCACTAGCAAGTTTGCTTCGCCAGTTTGGTATTTTGACTACGCGTGACGACCATTGTTTTTTGTGATTCCGACTGTATTGCATTGCATTTTGCAGCTGACGCTGATTGAACCAAAATGTTGCCGATATGACTTTGACAGCACTGAATTTCTAGTAAGACTTCAGAGGTTTTCGATGATACAAAGTAGACCTTTAAAGCTTTCAATTGGAAGATTGGATTAAATTTGATTCTGTTTTGTTTCTAACTTTTTCTTTTTGTTTCTCAGAATGTTCATGAGATTAGCGACCTGGATGATGATGATGACAATGATGATGTGAAGACTATCGAGTTAAAACCAGGTTCATTCCAACAAAAAAAAAAAAATGTTTCACATTAAACCACCCAGCCCACCAGCCAATCACTAAAGGAAACAGGATCATTTCACAAGAAAACATGAATGCTACGAATACAATCAATCAATGAAATAAGCACCCATTCAAAGAAAACATCATTAATGCAAAGGGTATTTTTAATATTTGACACACTGATCAAATTCCATTAATCAAACAGCATCCCTTAAAACCGAGTTTGACAAAAAAAAAGAAAAAAAGATACAGAAAATGAAGCCGAGGAGAAGTAATTGGAGAAGCTTTTGGGGGCATTCCCCAGTTTGTTCTTAACTTAAACAGGATCAGCAAGCATTACAAACTATATATTGCATACCACAAATGCAATTAGATCCAGGATATCTATATAATCTTGAAAGCTAGTAGTAGGTACCCTCCGGAGGTTGGACCAGCTTTCGGTTATGTGGGGCTGCCATCTCCTTTTTCAGCTGTGTCAGTATATCCTCCATAGTATACTCCCTCTGCCAATTTGCAAGAAGTCCAAACTTCTTCGGTTCCACCTGTTGCCATTGGATGCCATCAAATTCTCGTCACAATGTTTTCACTCATCATACTCAAAACAATATAAAAAATACAGTAGCTTGAATCAGAATACCATGGATGGTTGAATTACTTTCAAAATTATGAGTACCCGAGTTCCATGTCTACATAGAAAGAGGGGGAGGGGGACAATTTACACAATTGAACATGCCAGATTGCACCATTCTCAAACAAGTGAATACTTAAAATAAACAATCAATGAAAAGCAGCATAAGATTAAGCAACAGATATGAAATAAAATAAACTGATCATTTCAAGACAAATGAATGTAAAATTATTAGTATACCACTCCGGTTTCATGGTTAACACAAGTCATGTTGATCCTTGAATGAAAACGGACACTAGGTGGCTTCTCTGGATAATCTTTATCGCAGAACAGCTTCAGCTGATAAATTCGACCTTCATGTACAGTCTGGCAAAAGGAAAAATGAAAATCACCACAAAGAAAGAAACAGAAAAGCATGTAGCGAAATGATAGTTTTCAAAATCCCCAGCAAAACCCATAGTCACTCCAAAAGCAAGGAGAGTAGGGTAATCCCAAAGACAAAGCTAAGAAACCAGAATGCTAATTATTTGTGAAAAGAATTATGAGAAACAGTAAGATAGTAGGGTATTCCATATGTACCAGCCAGATTTTTAGCCCTTGGTTTAATAACTAAAACAAAAAAAACTTAGAATAAGCTTTAAGTTCTCTGTTTCTGTCAAAAGCTGGGTTTAATACTCAATGCTTCAGAAGATTCACATATCATTGCCCATACAAACACAAAGTTTCATCTAAAGGAACACATCAAAATATATGAATGTTGACCGAAAAAAAAAGCAATTACATTGTGAGGACCAATAATGGTGCCAGTCCAAGAGCGCATGTATATATCATCTCCATCATCCATTCCATAACTAACAGTACCATCTCCGATACCTTTTTCTCCACGTTCAAGCTCCTCCAGCAATCTGAAGTTCCGAGGCACTATAAAAAGAACTTATAATACTCAATAAAACTCATGATCTGTTATGCTAATAACATAAGAAGTCCTAGCATTGGGCTTAATCCCAAAGAATTTCAGTCCTCCAATTGGACTAATCTTTTTAAAGGACTCCTAAAAAGCATAGCACCAACAAATAAGTAGTTTTAAAAAGCTATCAATAATCATACAAGTTTAGTCCTCCAATAAGGTAACTGCTCAAAAAGGGACAGATTACAAAGCTAACAAGCCTAAAGCAGCGGCACCTTTATACACCGAAAGAAATTCTTAATCATCAATGCCTGCCTTGTCTACTTTTAAGAGGAAAAAGTAGCAAACACACAAAGAAATGTGCATTTCCATATTCTTTGATTCAAGATTTTACGTGCAAAACGTATTCAAACAACTCCTAGAACATAAACCATCAAATATTCATATAGAATCTTTCAGATAACATTATTTATGAGAGTTTTGAATTTGTTAAATATAAGGCTTGTCAGCTAAAGAAAATGATATAAGTTTAATAATAACAATTAATAAACCATAACAGAATATTCATTATAAAACTAAAACATCATAAGGTAGCCACAACAACATACTTTAAATTGCTCAATAGATACTCAAGCTAAGCAAAATTTCATACTTTATATCAATTATAGCAGCAATGAAACCAACCCGAAAACAAATAAAAAAATTAACAGCCACCCAAAACTTTAAACAAATAATAAACCCATAGAACAATAGAAAAATAGAGGGAACCCCTTCAATTTCTTATGTTAACCCATAGAAATTGACCAATCCCATAAATAATAGCTGATTATATATGCAAGAAACGATTAAACAACAAAATCTAGGAAACCCATGAGTAGAATCTAAGAATGATCAATAAAAACACATGATCATAAAAAAAAAAAAAAAAAGAAGGGAGAAGGAGATCGAAGGGCTGACCCACGACACTCGATCCTCCTGAGCCAAGCGTCATGGGTGATTCGCTGGAGGGTTTTGTTCGATGGGTTTGGAGAGATCTGATCGATAAGAGAGAGAAAGAGAAAGATATTTGAGAGAGAAGGAGAAAGAGCAGAGAATCTGGTGAAAGAAAAGCGACGAATGGCAAAGCTCTGGAATGGGGAGAATAAAGGGTGCCTTTTATTTTTATTTTTCTATTAATATGATTAAAGTAAAATAAACAAATTTATGCATTTCGAATTGAGATTTAGACATTTTTTTTCTCGACCAAAAAATATTTTTTTGAAAATAAATATATAAAAAAAATATGAGTTACTTTTATAGTGGAAAAATTATTTTAAAATGACAATATATGTTTATTTTCAATTTTATATTTTTATAATCTTTTATTTAATATTTTGTAATTATTTTAAATGTGTTTCATGTTATTTGATTTATGAGTTGTAAGATGACAATCAATTAAAATTTTATGATAGTATAAATAAATACTAGAATTTGACAAACTCACTTAAGTGAGTTAAAAAAAATATTTTAAAAAAATTACTTGATAATAGGATATAAAATTGTTCATTTAATCGAATCAATTAATTTTAAAATAAATTATTTAAAATCAAATTAATCAAATTATATTATTTTATTTTTATTAATTAAATTAAATTTATTAATTTTGAAATTTAATCGATTGAATTTAATTCATCGATTTGATTAAATTTTTTAGTTAATCGAATAATAAATATATTTAAATTAAATTATTTTAAATTCTTAATTTATTATATTTTGAATAAACTAAATAAAATTAACAAATAAAATATTCAAATATCAAAATATTATTTTAAAAATTCTAACAACTTATAAAATAAAATGATAAATTTCAAGAATTTTTTATTTTATATCCGGATTATATTATATTTACATCGTAACAGTTTTGGAGCCTGCTGACGAATTTGGAAAACAAAAATAAAAAAAAATCAGAGTCGCCACTAATTTTTTTTGATTATGTGCAATAGGTCACCTATTAAAATTTATCATTTTAATAAAATTTTAAAATTAATTAAAATTTATTAAAAAGATAATTTTATGATATGCGAAACAGTTTGCGTTTGGAAATCGATTACGCGTGGGGAAGGATTAGCAGCCCCACAGCGCTCGTTTAAAACGGTACCACTTAACTATGTGTTATCCATTGATTTTGATAAAAATAATCTTATTTTCGTTGTTTAAAAAATAATTTTCTTGATTTTCTTTGTTTGTTGAATTTTTTTTGTTATTTGATTTTATTTATTGTTTCATTTTCTGATTCAAATTTTATTTGAGAAAAATAAATCATAACCCTTTTATTGAAATATTTCTTAAAATGCTTCAATACGTTGATAACATTAGAATAAATTCTTCTCACTTATAGATTTCATAGGCATCGCTTCTTGGAATATCTTAAAATCTTATCCTCGAAGGCTCAAATTTATTTTTCGTAAAAAATTATGCCATGCATGTAATGCAAATGATAATATGTTAATGCACACATTATATTTTTTTATTTAGAAATTTTATTAATTTTACTAATTTTTCATTTAAAACTTTTGAGGAAAATGAAATTTTCATTATAATGAAAATTTTCTATAAATATTTCAATATACTGGTAATATTTAAAAAAATCTTTTCACCTAAAATTTTTTAAAGTATCTCTACTCGAAATACTTTTAGAATTCTATCATCGGATAAAATTTCTTTTTTTCTCATTTTGATTGCTTATTCTTA